GAAAGCCGGATGCACATGGTGGGCGAACCAAACCATCCGGACTGTGGGGTCGTGTGGCGTAGCGGCTGAGTGCTCGACTCGGAACAAAGAGGTCCCGAGTTCGAGTCCTGACACACCACCGATCTTGTGCCCTTGGGAAAGGCACTTTACACGACTTTCCTCACTTGAAGTGCTCGAAGTGCGACCCTCCTCAGATCTGAGAGGAGGTCCCTAACCGAATCTAGGTACTCATTTTCATCTGAGGGAAGTGAGGAAATTGAAATTGGCCTAAATTTAAAATGGAATATCAATTTGACCAGAGGATATGCACTACCAAAAATGTTTTTTTCTTGTTTTTCTTGTTTTCCTTGTACAAAGAAATGGTATCTTGTAGCAAGAAAATTATTCTGGGAACAAGAAATTAAAGAATCTCCAGCTTGCCTAGGCCATGTCTCCTCTGGCCAAATTGTTATTCCCTTTTTAGGCCAATTTCTACTATTTATCAGCCTGCAAAAGGAGTCTGGTGGAGATTAAATTTGACCCTCCGTAACCGGCTAGGAGTCTGGTGGAGACTAACAAGACCACCTACCATGTCTACCGCCCGTGTAGGTTCATCTGTTCCCGCTGCGCTACCCGGACATCATGACGAAGACCCGCACGGCCCTGCTGACCGGGGTGTTCGCGCTCCTGTCCTTCGTCACCGTGCTGCCGCCTCTCATCGAGGAGGGGCGAGACAGTTTCTTCCCGACGTACTTCGTGTGCAGGTACGGGAGAGCCGCTAGCGTGGTAACCGTTCTCTACGGGCGGGCTTTGGTGTTTCGGTCCCGGTCAAGTCATGTACTGAAATCTATCTGTAGATAAAAACCATTTTGTATATATGCAAGTTTGCTTACGCAGATGTGTAGAAGTATGTAAATAGCTGTAATTGAAATGTAATTGTATGCTCTTAGAAAAAAAAAAGGAAGATTAGCCGCATACGACTGGTTTGCATGGTAGCTAATGGAGTTTTAAAATGTATCAAAGTATCACAGGGCATTTGCTCTGGCAGTCGATCGATCCAGCCGACCTAATTGAAACTCCTAAGTATAGAGTACGTTGGGTGGGAGGCTTGGCGGACTGGCACACTATTAGCGCCGTAGAAATCGGGGAGCCACGACGGTCTGTTCACCATGGCTAGGACGCATCATAAGAACGTGTGACCATTGTTGCGGATGAAAGTCATTTTTACAACGTTCTGCACAAGTAGGTGTCGCCACTGAAGAGATGCTACTTCTGAACATGCTGAACATGTAACAGTGATTGATTGTTTGTTTGTTTGTTTGTTTGTTTATTCCTTTATTTGGACCATTACAGGTACGAGGGGCCTGCGCGACTGATCAGACAGTCTCTGATGAACACGTGCTTCGCCATCACATTGGCAACCATGTTCTTCTGTTACTTCAGGTGCGTAAAATATCCTACTATTAAAAAATGGAGTTCAGACCATACCGAACAGATGGCATGTTACGAAGGCAACAAACAAAAATGACATATTCTGGATGAAGACATTTTCGTCATCATTTCATACTTGAAAAAGCCCCAAAATAAGCTATGTTAGGAGTCCTTTTATTTTCGTTTGTACATTGTACCACCAGTAGCTAGAACCAGCCAACAAAACAATAGACTGGGTGCCAGACCCATAGCACACTGGACACAAAGCTCACTGAGATACTTTGTGTCCAGTGTGCTATGGGTCTGGCACCCAGGCTAAAAAACAATCGACCGCTTTCCGGCATCAGTGATATCGCATTGTCGCCACACAGATATCAGTATGCTATGTGATAGAGTTGATCCAACTTTACTTCAATACAACAATGACCAGAAAATTGACTTTGAAAATCCAGTTTTACTGCCCTCAAATCCCTTTGAGTCCAATTAATCACGTTGTTATGCCAGATAAAAGTGTCTCTTTATAACCACGTACATTTTATCGTATCTCTCACTCTCACCCTTAGGATCTGGCGGGAGGTCCGCCGACAGCAGGCCTTAGTTGTCCATCTGCAGCCCGCTCCGCTGGCCGACAGAACTCAGGGAACGTCCACGACAGGAGGGACACAGGACACTACAGCCAACCCGTCTGGGGACGCTGAGAGTGGCCGGGCAGACCTTGGGGACAAGTGGGCCTGCCCTCGCCATGCACACGTCAACCTCGCCTTCCAGTTGGACGACGAAGAAGCCGGACCTTCAGAAGAAACACAGGCACCAGTCCAAGTACTAGTAAGTAAAATTTATGTTGTGTACAACTAGTCTTCGTGTCAATGAACGAGCAATTACCGCTTCTGTGACGTCACGTTATGCAAATGGCACACACGTGACTCGGAGAGCAGTGGATCATAGGTTGCAGAAGAAGTCTATGGCGCCCCCCGTCTTCGTTGTGTTGGAAATTACGGTTCAAACTTCCTTTACAATGAGTGCTACCAACAATGTTACCCCGCGAGTCGACAGACTACTACTACTGCGACTACTACTACTACTACTACTACTACTACTACTACACTACTACTACTACTACTACTACTACTACTACTACTACTACTACTACACAGCTGTACTTTCAGGACAAAATAAAACTTATTTTTTACCTTCTCTTTCCAGGATGACCCTCAGCATAACGCTGCCGCACAGGTTTCGGCTGCTCCTTTACCTGCCCCCGCCGCGGAGCCGGGACGGCCGCTCCTGTCTGCCGAGTTCCAGCAGCGTCTGAGAACCGCCGGGACCGTCATGATGGTCATCGGGGTGTTCTGGGCCACCTGGATCCCGTACAGCGTCACCATCTTCCGCATGGGCATCGTCGGGGTGGAGGAGGTCGCGCCAACCGACGGAGTCTGGCAGAGAATCTCGCTCCTGGTCTCCATGGTCTCCACCTACTCCAACCCCATCATCTATGCCTACCGTAACAGGGAGCTGCGCCAGGCGTTTCTCAGGCTCTGTCGACGTCGGTGACTCTGATCTACTAGTCGTATTACCTGATACCAAAGCCTATCCAGTCTTGCCTGACTGTCAGCCTTTTTAGGTTTCGTCCGCTCCCCACGATCCGCTACACATACCGGCCAAGTAGCGGATCGTGGGGAGCGGACGAAAACTAAAAAGGCGGACACTCAGGCTATATCCAGTCAAATTCCACAACCAGTTTACCTGCGTACCTAAACTTCTTCAGCAGAACCCATACCTATTCCACACGACACAGTTTGAATCAGTCCTTGCAACTCCCCAAAGCCAGATTAGAATGTGGCAAAATAACGTTTACGTATACAGGTGCAGTGGGTTGGAATAAACTCCTATCCGGTTGTTAGAACTGCATTATCTATAACGTTACAGTCCTTCAAAACACTGTGCACGGCTGTGTGACTTCTGACTTTCTACCCTTACGACCTGGCATGACCTCGACTACGATTATGGATTACGATTATGACATTGATGTTTTATTCCGTCTTGTCTTGTATATATTGTTTTGTATATATGTACCAGGGCCACTCTGTAAAGCAGTGCTAAGCCACTGAGTAGTGCTATCATGCATGGTTGAAGAACGCAGAAAATTAATAAATGAATAAAGCCGTGCTACTGTCTGATCGACGCACAAAATAAAAACAATAATTTTTTAAAAGCTGAGCGAGGGCCAGGATTTCAATGTTTGTTGGGGTGAGTGTGATGACGATATGTGGCTCAAATAATTGGTCACATTGATGACTTGAATATTATATTAATGCTAATAAGTGTGGGCTTTAGACGCACAATTGTAATGTGTTATGAGCTCTTTCTCATAGATATTTTGTAATAGTGTATATGCAGTTATGTTCTTAAACCAAATGATCTTACTTTGCACAGACCATTTATATATCGTGCCATTTGTGTTAGTGAAGTACAGTAAATACCTGCACAAATGATATGATAAGATGATTATGAGTGGTGTAACGTTATACTTCGGAAATTGCGCGTTTGTACATCTGTACATGTATGTGTTATTGCACATCTATATGATATCCTGAGTGAGTATATATGTATATTGTTGATGTCCAAATGTCACATGGTTTAGATTATGTACCTATAGTACACTAGTGACTTACCTGATGTGATACATGATGGTAAAACTTGTAACGTTGCATTTGTACTTTTGCGGTGTCATACTTCTAGCATATCTGTACGTTTATTTATCTATTTATTAAGTTTTACCACGTACAATATGCACTGTGGGTGGCATGGCGAAACAGGTGTTTCTGACATGAGGCACGTTACATGAAGGTTCTTGTCATAGTTTATCTTGTATTGTTATGATAAACGTTATCATAGTGAATACCAGAAAATTTTGATGTGTTTACGTTTATAACGTATGTTGAAATATGAAGTATTTATATATATAACGTTAACGCTGATTAAAAATACTTGTACGAGTATTTGGACACCCCATACAAACCTTATAAGATCTTAGGGACTGTACGATATTTACCGGGGAGGGGGGGCCGGTCGTCCGGGGGTAGCGTAAAAAAATTTTCCTAGGCCCTCCCCCCAGGTCAAAAAAATTTTTCCTAGGCCCTCCCCCCGGCTCAAAAAATTTTTCCTAGGCCCTCCCCCCGGCGTGAATAATAGAGAGTGAAATTTCGTATGGGGATGACGAGATTTTGATTGAAAATTTTCCCCGCATGAAGCGCCGAAGGCGCGAGCTATCGCGCCGCAGGCGCCACTAGAGCCCGAGTAGGCCCGGCTTTTTTTGGGGGGGGGCGGGGGATGTCCCCCCGGAAAAATTTTGAAATTCAACCCATGTTTTGCATGTTGAGGGGCAAATTTGGCAGCACAAATTTCGCTGGTACGTCTAACTATAAATTTAAAGTCAGTAACGTTACGGTCAGTCAGTGTAATCGAAATAATCCTCTATCTAGCCTACCTTTCGTCCGCGTCTTCCGCGTCAATTTTATTACAAACAGGGAAACAATATTGCCAAGTTACGTGTTGTTTTCAATTAACTTTGGAGGGACATAGATATAAATGTTAAAATAGTCCTTGGTTTAATAAAAATACCAAATTAATCCGTCGACATCCGACATCCACGCCGAGAAGTTCGAGCGAGCTGCGAGGCGGGACCAGCGGGGCCTTTGCCGACGCACGCACGCACACCACTGGGAAGGGTGCGTTGAACGGCGAAAATTAATTTTCAAAATCTTCAGACAAGCCTTCCCTACATTTTTGATCGGTATCGTTTCGATTGCCGCGATTTACGCGATTTACATCCATGTAATTTGGCTGTGTAGTCCAGTTTCGCCGATTCTGGCGAAGATGCAAGATGAAGGGGACTGTGGGAGATTTGGGCGAATACATTATAATAATAGGGATGGATATTATTGGAACGTAAAATTTTGCCGATTCTAATGACCTGCAAATCGCTACGATATGTATGGACAGACGTTTAATCATGTTTTGAACGTGTATAAAAACGTTGTAGAGTTAAAGGGACCTTGGAAAAAAAATTTACCTAGGCCCTCCCCCAAATTTAAATATTTTTTCTAGGCCCTCCCCCGGCTCAAAATTTTTTTCCTAGGCCCTCCCCCCTCAGACGACCGGCCCTCCCCCCCCGGTAAATATCGTACAGTCCCTTATAAATGTAGGCTTCGTCCTTTGTTGTGTTTCAGTTAATAAATGTCAAAAAAGATTGATTTTATTCATAATTGTCATTTTTTAAAGGATAGGATTTTACAAAAAAACATACTACAAGCAGCGTAGGCAAATATTGTTGACCTTATAGACTGTTGCAAGATATTGTCAAAGCGTTTGCTGAAATAACGTTCGTACAGCAAGGGTAGTGCAATTATTACAACTATCGCATAGGGGCGTTGTTTGACTGCTCTTTCCCGTCATCCAATGCGGAGGGTAGCGTTCTTTCATTTTCCAGGGAAACAGACACAGGTGGGACGCCGGGTTTGAAATTCCCGCTTTCCAAAATTGCAAAACACACCCCTCAATCGAATCAACGATGCTGGAACCACCTGGAATGTGAGTATAGGGAACGCTAATAATCTGCTTATGTGGTCATCCTCAATCAGTTCATCGTAGATCGCCGAAACGAAACGTTTGTTGACATCGAAGGGGGGAGGGGGGAGGTTACGCTTTCTACCTTTCTTAGCTTAGATTTGGTTAAAACAAGGAACTTTCCTTGGTTAAAGCAAATATAATTGTGCATTTTTGTAATGCAGGGTTGTTCTGTGCTGCGGTAAGCTCACATACCTGCCGTGTGAAGTCATAATATGATTATCGATCTGCCCATATTTACGTGCCGTGCAAAAGTCGATTTTATTTATCGACAAGGACAAGAACATTTTCATTGTACATAATCATAATTCATTTATCTCCACCAGGTCCTAGATTTTGGGCTTATGTTAACAAGCATCAAGTAACAAAAAAAATCCCTGTTCTGAAATGCCTGCTCTTCCAAGGACGTCTATCCAACCTCCTTGGTCTACTCTATACTGTATCTGTCTGTGGGGGTTGCATATATCCTGATCCCAACCAACCTACCAACAAAGTAAACAAACGAAACACATCCAGTACATAGTACCCTAAAAGGTCAATAATTTTGCACCAAGAGCTAAATGGAGACAAAGAAATGGAATTATTTGACTCTGAACTGGACCAAGTGCAAACCAGCACCAAGATACCACATCTACTGATGATCTAGCGAGATAGATGTTAAACAAGGACAACAACAACATTTGAGCCAAAACATCTGCAACAATTAATTGCCTAACATACCGCCAAAACAAATTATTATAGAAAAACCAACTCAAATAACAGAGGACGAAGGTATGAACTCTTTGCCCTCTAGTTTTTAATTCATTTTGAAAATGGTGATGTAAAATCTAACACACTGATTTGTACTGATTCCAGCATGTGATACCAGGTAGAATCCACAACAGAATCCAACACATCATGTTGAACTGAAGGGAAGGCAGAAGACCAACATGGCCTCGCAGTTTGATTCAGGTGCTTTTGACGGAGGGCTCGGTGCTCCCCTGGGTATGGGGATCTCAGGTGGCCCTTCCCTGGGGTATGGGGACCTGTCGGGCACACACGGTGCAGCCCTGCCCAGACTGGCCTCAGAGACAGAGCTGCAGAAAATGCTGACCGATGAGAAAATGAGGAGTGAACAACACAAGACGAACTACGAGACACTGAAGGCTGAACACACCAGGTAAGCAGAACCCTTTTCTCAATCAGTGTTCAAAACTGGTCTTTTTTATAGAATTGAATAGTAGAAGTCGTACCTTTAAAATGTTGAGCACAAAGCCAAAGAAGTCAGTATATTACAAGGAAGGATTAAAACTAACATGACAAAAGATCTTTAAGCGTAGAAGCTTTCAGATGCAGGGTCCCATTGCCCACCTGCCCAGGGCAAGTAAAAGCACTGTTCGGGCAAGTGAATATCCCCCTGTACTTGCCCGATTGGGCAAGTAAATTTTTTGGATGCAAAGTATAGCTGCTACAGTGTTTGGAGAAAGTCAAACCACCTTAATTTCAATAAATAAAGCATCTAACATTATAAACTCCAAAATAAGATAATTTCCTTGGTGGTAGTAAAAATGCATAAAAATATGTATATTTCAGGCAAGTGAAAAATTGGTTTGGGCAAGTGGAAATGACCTTGTACTTGCCCGATATGGCAAGTGGATTTTTGAAAACTAGTCCAACCCTGAGATGGCATCCACCATCTTTATTCAGCTACTGACGAGGGCAGTCATGTGACCCAGGGGTTGAAAGGTCATATGTTGTAGATGGGGGGTAGTCGATGGCGGCCTTTGTCACGGTTCAAGGATGGGGAGAGGGCTCTGATTTTTACCGCCTCTTTGACCCCACGCTCAAACCATCTTCTTTCTCTATCGAGGATTGTTCTGTTCTGGATGGTGCTTATGTGTCCTTATGTGTTCTGGATGGTGCTTAAGTCAGCACAGACCTGTTTTTCCAACCATGAATGCAGTGCTCTAGCCAGCATCCATCTTGTTGTCATTTGACGGAGTTTTGCCAGTAACACCAACTGACCAAGCTTAGTGCACAGTACCTGGGACGTACTGTTCATATAAGTAGTATGTATATATTCATGTATATATGTATGTACTAATGTTATGTGTTCATTTTAACATAATGATGTAAATACCAATGCCATTCAGGCAACATTATAATTTATAGTTCTATTTTGTATGTCTGCAATGTAGGTATAATGGAAATGAAGCATTGAAGAATTAGCCCAGATGAAGATGACAAAGTCAGACAGACAGTCATCAAAACATCAGTTTATGTAAAACAAACAAGAGCTTTACTACTTAAAGACTTGCACTGAATGTTATTTTTGACGAAGCTAAGGCAGAAAACTGAGAATTCTTTTTTTCTGCAGGCTGCAGGATGAGCACATTCTGCTGCAGGAACAGTTACGTGGCCTGCGGGAGTCTCACACCAGTGTACAGGCCGAGTGTCAGACGCTGATCGCTCAGGCTCGACTGGAGGTGTCCCAGAAAATAGCACTGATAGAGGAGCTCAAGTCACAGGTAGGGAGGGCAGGGCAGCTACTGGACTGAATTGTACACATGCACAGTATTCATGATATGTGAGGAAATTGGGTTGGCGGAAAAAACTGTTCAGTCCAGGAGGAGGAAAAACATAGGGTCTAGGCTTGGTTTTCATAGAAAGTTGGAAATTATCCCTTTCCCCTTTCATTTCAGGAAAAAAGGATTGTGATTCCCCACCAAAATGTTAACTGGAATAGCCATTGTCTTAGATGATCACCAAGGGTCTATGTGCCTTTTTCTGTAAATTCTTTGTGAAGAGTAATTTGATCGCTTTAATTCCACACAACAATATATGTGACCTAAAATCATTGTTAGGTGTTATTGAAAATTCTTTGTCTCGAGTAGTCGCACCGTCAGAACACCAGATTGCTTAAAATCATAAAAGGGTATACAGATACACACTGAATAAAAAAGAACATTCCAAAGAAGTCACTCTATACAAAAACAACCTAATTTACCTAGTTGGTGGAACATATAGGATGTCGAAATTTCTTTTTTAGAAATGTAAGGTGAGTATTTCCTGGTTGTGAAAAAAGGAAATTCCTACATCCAACCTAATTTACTGTTAAGTATTGTTGGCCCTCCAGATTTTACCGTTAAGCATTGCCAGAATTCCCCCATGCAGACCCTCATCTCTCTTTCCCCCTGATAATGACCATTGACTACAGGTCATGAGCTCCCAGAGACTTGAGATGATCCGTGTCCAGGTTCGGGAGGAGGTGGAGGGTCCGTACAGGGAGCGCATCTCCAAACTGGACGGAGAGCTGGACAAACTACGGACAGAGATGAACCAGCTACGCTACGAGCACTCCTTCCTGAAGTCCGAGTACGAACATCAGCAGACCGAGCACAAACGCATCGTAGAGGAGACAACTCTCAAGTATGAAGCAGAGGTGAGATATTGCTATTAAACCATAAACATCCCAGAGGAAAGTTCTCTATTTCTGTATGGAGAAATTTCTCTTGCCCAGCTCCTGTCACACATTCAGAACCTGACCCCAACCACCAACCAAACATAAAAACAAGGTTGGCTGAAGTTTGGGAGCATTCTGACCAGATTTAGGCCATGCTTACCTTTCCATACAAAACTAATTGAATTTGAGTCAAACTGGACCCCCGAATATGCGTCCAACACTGCTGATCTACTCCTGAACACCAGCTAACTGGAAATGTAATCAAATTCGGCTAACTATGGCCAAACATATACTACTGTAAGTCTCTTTAGATTCGCGGGCCTAAAGTTCGCGGTTTAGGGAAAATGGGCAATCCGCGGTATTTTTAGATTCACGATCTCTCCTTGGCTATTCAAAAAAGAACTTGTAAAGTGCATATTTTAAAAAAAGTTCGTGTCCCGGCATTTATCTCCTAACATGCGGCGCAAAAAATTGTTTCCTGCACCGCGCGAGGCTGCCTGCATGCTCTGTCGGTATGCAAATGTTACATCACATGTCCGCGCTATGCGTCTCTGATTGGTTGTTTCGTCAGTGCCGGCGGTAAAGTTCGATCGATCTGATGCCCGTGTAAACAATTTTCTTTGTTCGGAAATAAGCACTAAACGCTATTTTCCACGACTACACATCGATAACCTAGTGAAGAAATGTATAAGGAAAAGAATCTTTCGGGAGAACATGTATTGCTATGCCAATTTATGGCGTATTCGGTGAGATTTTGGCGTTCGATGAATGCGGAAGTGTCCCAAGGTCGCCTTCTTGTAGTTAACGTTACACCACGCTAGCGTTTCTACCCATCAAAACGAGAAAAAAAACTCCAGCAAAAGAGAACCAAGTAACATTTCCCAGGTACGAAAAGTTATATTTTTCGTCAAAATATTTGTAGATATCCCCGATGCGCCCGCATTTCAGCGCCCGCACGCATGGCCAGCACTCTGCCGGGTGAATATTTTTGTCGGGTGGTACGAGGTTGACACGGCCAGTGCTATCGATTCGGTGTCTCTCATAATACTAGTAACAGTTTAAATTTGATAATTTTGATACTGTTGAGTACTCAACTACGTACATTTGCCAAGAATAAAGTTGATTTGCGGTGATTTGCGGATCGCGTTTGTGTTTCGCTTGAACTCTACTAAGGTCCGTCGTGAATGCATGTGGGGAGGGGGGCACACTTACGCAAAACATATCCACGGGGAAATAGATTCGCGGTACAAAGGTCCCCGCGAATTCCGCGAATCTAAATATACCACGGAAATTTGTAGACTTACAGTGTATAGTTCTGTGAACATGTCCATTTTTCTCAGATTCTTCTTGATAGTAGATGAATCATGTAAACAGAAAATATCACTATTGAGCTGCCTGAGGTCAATGACATGGACGAGACGTCTGTCATCATTGTAGCAGACACCCTGTGGTGTTGAAATATGTACATTATGTAGCAAGTGGTGGGACAGGGTTGGAGAGGATCACCATATAATTTTTTAATGTTCCTGTGTACCACAGATCATGGACCTGCGGAAGGACCGCGAGGCTATCCTGGCCCGTCAGCAGGAGGAGGAGGACCACGACTCACAGCGGGTTCGTACGCTACAGAAGGAGAACGCACAGCTGCATCTGAAGGTCAAAGGTCAGCTGTCAACTACTTGTTGCTTGTTGAGTAGAAGAAAGTGGGTGGGATGGGAAGTGGTGTAATACCCAATTAAATCACATTATACAAAGAAGGTCTGCGAACTTAAAGGTCGACATCATGAAATCCCAAAATAGTTTCTTGAATGATCCAAGTTATTAGCAGCCAAACACCTCTGTTAGGAAGCAGAATGGTTTGAACATGTTAACTTGCAACAGGGCTCAAAATATGTTTTTCTGCAAAACTCCACTAATGCAGGTAATTTTCAATGTTACCTGCAGACAAATTTGACCTGCACCACTCAGAATTTAGGAAGTATGGATTGTACTTAAACTGTTCAGAAATCATTGCCATTATTTATACTTCATAGCTGTTAACAGTCAATGCTGCAAATGAAAACATACAGTCACCTACACTTGTATATGAAAACAATACATGGGCCAGTTCAGATGTAGGTACCACAGACTTGAGAAATACTCCATGAATAGTTTCATCAGGTTTGTAAGTCACTGAGTAAAGAGGCTCTTTTTTTTCCACAAGCAAGGAAAGTGACAGATCGTCACCAAAACGCCGGCTGTGAAAAAAACACTTGAGAGTCTCTTTACATCAGAAATACCAGCACAGCTCCACTGTTACCTGCACTAACCTGCATATGCAGGTGATATTTGATCCGTGATACATCTTACAAGGAAGGAGAATGTCAGGAGTCTATATTGCAATATCAGTGGGATAAAGTTTTATCTGTCCTTGCCGCAGGTCTGCTGACAGAGCTGGAGGAGATCCGAGCCCAGCGGGAGTCCTCAGGGATGCAGTCTGACCACGTGTCCAGACTACAGGCCAAACAGCTGGCAGAGACAACAGCCTCTCTTAGGGCTGCAGAGGTAAGCATTCAGGGTTTGTAATAGTTTTAGGGTTGCCTAAGACAAAAGCTAGGTTGTCCATCAATATTTATGGGTTCACCACACCACGAAGTGGTGGTGAACCCATATTGCTTTTTCTGATGTTTCTTCTCCTTCTCCTTCTCCTTCTTCTTCTCCTGCCATTTTTTAAATGGATTCAGCTTCTTCATTTTAGGGCCTAAGGTCCTGAAATTTGGTATGGAGGTACAGTGGGCAAATACCCCTAGGCGTTTTTTAAATTTTTGTGATACAAGCTTTTACAATCGTTTTATTTGCTTTTTTAGCGGTCCCCATAGGAAAGTACTGTGGGGACGTACGCGCGTGACGTAATAAGAAAGGAATTCGGCGGTATGCCCATATATGGGCATGCAAGCATGAACCAGACCAATCTATTCTTCTTGCTGATTGGCTGTTGGATTTGATTGGATTAACTCAATTAACACCTGTTCAAAGCCATTCCATTTTGACAGTATGAACTCAAGTGTTTTGGTAGGTACAGCACAGGCCACGAAATACGCATCGATTTTCGAGGGACGTTCTGCGGGAGAGTGCCGGACGCTGTGCGGGACTTCCCTCGGGAGAGTGCGGGACGTCCTCCGGGAGAGTGCGATACGTTCTGCGGGAGAGTGCGGTACGTCCAGCGGGAGAGTGCGGTACGTTCTGCGGGAGCCAGACATTTTGCTCTTCTCTGTTGGAACAACGCAAGTTGGAGGTCAATGACCTGCGCCCGGCGTGTAAACAAAAAAGTTACGCGGTACATAATGTGTATCGTCGGCGCGCGCGCCACGGTATCAACAATTTTCCGCAATCTTTACCAACTAGTATTATCTAGGTTCTGTTATAGCCTGGTATCCAGTCTGATTCGTGGTCGGGGCCGCAAGAGCTCTGGCCCGCCCGCCTCACATAAGCGTCCCGGTGTGTATTTCACGAGAGATTAATTAGACCTCCACGAACATGTTAGCTCGGTTGGAAACGCGCAAGGCGGCAATCCCAGGCATTGCAAGTTCGAACCCCAGTGCATCGGACATTAATATTTTTAGCAATTTAACATTTTTAACAATTTTATCATTTTTAACAATTTTATCAGTTTTAACAATTTTAACAATTCTGCATTTTAACAATTTCAACATTTTTTTTTATTTTCGTTGTTTTGCTTTTAACATTCAAAAACTGATTGTTCTTACTCAAGAATGTCAATAACTTAGAATGTTAGTCTTTTGTATTTTTCCAACATACAAACTAAAATCACTTTGATGTTGTCACAAAAGTATTGAGCTGACAAGAGAGAAGGAGTACGGTACTCTGCCAGTGTGAAGAATCTACAGAGGTATTACCAGTCACTAGTAGCAAGAGATAGACCACATTGAATGATGACGATGAGGACGAATCATATGAAGTACTATCATAGCTAGTACAGAAATTCTACTGCTTTACTTTACTTTCTTTCACTCTGTACATGCAATTAGCTCACTGGCATGATTTTAAAAATAAAGGTTATGATAATCATATTATATGTATAGCTTATTCAATGTATGGCTTCATAGTTTATGTGATTGTTAATAACACCTGCACAGAGCATTTTCATACTGACAGTATGTCTTTATTCAAGTGTTTTGGTAGGTATTTCAAGCTTTTCTGCTCCAGCATTGGAATGCGGGCATGTAAGGTTTTTTTTTATTTTGAAAATCAACAGTTTGCATTATGCAATTAAAAATCCTAACCAATAAAGTAGGGAATAGCTATCCAACTGTTGTTTTAGTTGTATGTTACTTCATATTATAGTTATATCAATGTAAATCATTGTTTTCCCTTGTGTTTCTCATTCTTTCCCTGCCATGTCGTAAAATGTGGTGAACCCATCGCTGTATTTGCTCCAAAGCAAATATTGGCCTTTCTAGTTCAGGTCTATTTTAGAAGGCAAGCCAGGCTAGTAACGGTTTATGTGTTCATACATACATTACAGGTTACACTAGGATGTCAAACACTTCTTGCAGCCCATAGGCTGAATTGGGGTGTTGACATTTACAAAATGAAGTAAATCTGTCCAGCTCGGAATTAAAAATACTACCTGTAATTTTAAACTTAAGGTATTGTTCACATGCTGGCCTAGGCAAGACACAGTTTATTTCAGAAGGTTCCATAAGCTGATGGGCCTAATTCAGCCTACAAGTACTGCTGCCAGGTCCATTGAAAAATAAACCATTTGATTGATTATGGTTACAGAGGGAAAACATATTGCTCAGTTTCTTCTTCTTCTCCAAACAAATAAGGTCAATGACCTGAACCAGACGTCTGTCACCATGGTAACTAGTGTTGCAATTTTATAGCAGGAGGGATTTAGACTCCTGTCTGACCATATATATGAATGTGTTTGAGTAAGAATTAAAAGAGCAGACCATATGTGAAGGTAAACATTATGCATTTGCATTGCAAATGTTACCTTTCTAGTTGGTTGATTGATTGATTGATTGGTTGATTGATTGATGAAATGATTGCAGAGTGAGAAGCAGTCCCTGAAGATGCGGTGTGAGCGGCTGCAGCAGGACCTGGACGCGGCGCTGGACCAGCAGAGTAAGCTGTCCTCCCAGCTGGGTGACGTCCAGCGGGAACACATGGCCATCCGACACAAGTACGACGAGATCTCACATAAACACAAACTGGAGGTCAGTATCGGGATTACATCAAAAAAGTGTTTTTATATTGTTATGATTACCTTTATAGAAGGAAAACATATTGTTTTTGCTTCGTTTCTTCCTCTTCTTCTTCTCCAAACAAATAAAGACCTGTCTGTCACCATGGTAGCAGACACCCTGTGCTGTTGTGTTAGATTACATTATGTAGCAAGTAGTGGGACGTGGTTGGAGATGATGGTCACCATGCTTTTGTGATGATATCCTGGAGGTCTAATGCTCCAGGAAATAAATTTGTTACAACATAAAGACAATTTTATGAAAGTAAAAGCACAAAAATCAAACCTGCTCTTTTTTGCCACTCCAAGGTGACAAATATGAAGATGGAGACAGTGAAGAGGACAGGAGAACTGGAGAGAGAGCGGGACCAACTCAGGAGTGAGACAGAGGGTCAGTGGGCTTAACGTTAACCTTAGCTGAAATAGGTGCACCCAACCGTTGAACCTAAAAATTGGGTGCACAAAAAAGTGTTGGGTGGACCATAATTATAGTAAAGTAGAATGTCAGCAAAACCTAATTACAAAATGGACACTTCAGGCTCATGCACGTAGGTGCCAGAAAAGGAAAAATCTTGAAAACATTACCCAGTCAGATTAGGGGTCCCACACATTTTTTAGGATTTAGAATTAGCTCTTTCAAATTAGGTTCATTTGAAAGGGCTTACTGAGAGGAACAAAATGCTTTTTGTTGCAAGTAAATGTTGTATGGCCCAGAAATTTGTCATCAAAGGTTAAATTGGAAGCGGCCATTGTTTTAATTTTCGATAAATATGCGATTTTCGTCATTTTTCAGTAAGTCATATCTACACAACAAAATACCACTCAACCAACAATTCACCTCCTAAAGACTTTAATATGCACATATTCAAACATGTCTCAATCCCAGCCTCCTAGCATCAAGATTTTCCCAGTTATGTATGTCATAATAGTTGACTGTAAAATACACCTTTTCACTCCTGATTCCGCGGTATTTGCGCTGTGTCAGGAATCCGCACCCAGCTGGAGGTTCTCCAGCAGACCATCGAGCGTCAGAGCGCCGAGCTGGCAGACAAGGAGCGGGAGCTGGTGCGCAGGGTGCAGGCCGCTCGGGACGAGGAGGGCGAGAAACTCATCAAGCTGCAGACAGAACAGTGAGTCAGGGACACTTTTCTTACAGTACTGACTGAGACCAAGGAAAAAATGTTGTGTTTCCTGTTTCCCAACCAATCCTAGAAAAAAACTGCCTACCCTAGCCTTTATTGGAGGGACCCCTGCAAGGGACATAAATTTTTCAAGCTGATCGACCAGCTCCATGATCTGACACCTGAGTAATGAAATGTTGCACAATCCGTTTTCCAATCGACATGGAAAATATGTGTCCTCATGCAAGTTTTACTTTGTTAAATTGTATTGCAAAATGGGATCACTAGAGATTGCCAAAGTCTAATCATAAAAAAGCAAAAAAAAAATGGGTGGGAAGGGATTTGGAAGTTAATTGAGACCAGTACTGTACATGTATTTTGAAAGATGATTTTTAGAAATTGACATCTCTCACCAACTTTCCTGCAGACTTTAAAAAACTGAGGTCTCTCACCAACGTTCCTGCAGACTTGAAAAAACAGGTATCTCACCAACGTTTATGTAGACTTTGGAAAAGGAGGTCTCTCACCAACGTTCCATTGCAGGATGGAGATGGACGCTAAGATGGCTGAGATGGAGAGACAGCGGCTGGAGGACGAGTCCACCAAGATGGCGGAACGGGAGCGAGCCGAGGAGAAGGTCAACGAAGCCATGAGGAGGAAGGACGCTGCTGAGAGAGAGGTCCAAGAGCTCAAGTAAGTCACAGTAACTGTCAGTATGGTAACAGTCACTAATTCTTATATACTAATTGAACAGTAACATGCCATCTTATAATGTTGTAATGTTTGTTCTCGTTTTTTGTAACTAGACTTGACGTTATGTGTTGTAGCTACCCGGAAGATTAATACAAGAGGGCACTGGTGCTTTCTTGTTACTTTTACCTGTATCAAATTCTCTCGTCTAACATTTCAGTAGCAGACCACGAGAAATCCAGCCCACAGTCACTACTGTTACGATTCCCAGTATTGAAAGGTTGGAAGCCTCACACTGACTGTCAGCTTGATGTGGCACAGAGTGTTTGCCGTGATGTGGTCAGCTCTGTAGCTGCACTTTGTATAATCTCTTCTTCACCAAGAGTTATACTGATGTACAGTCAAACTAATCTCCAAGCAGATGTATAGGTGGCCGCAAAAGACAGTATCAAATTGGCCAAGCAGTATCCATTGGCCAGACTGTATCCATTTTCCACCCAACAAATGGCAAATGGATACAGTCTGGCCAATGGATACTGCTTGGCCAATTTGATACTGTCTTTTGCGGCCACCTAAACATCTGCTTGGAGATTACGGTCAAACCTGCCCTACAAGATCACTTACAGTACAGATCTCAAATGACTTCCTATATACATGTAAATTGCCATCGAAAGTCGTGCAGAAGGCAATTGCATTTTTCAATTGAAACCCATACAAAAGCTGTGCAATAGGTGTGCAATTCTCGTGTTCATTTATGTGGCCTTTGTATGGGTTTTAACCATTGTATGGGTTTGAACACAATCTCATGACTTTTGTACAAAAAATTAAAGAGTTAAAACCATTGTGTAAAATCCTTGGGAATGTACTGAGACCAAAAACAGCATTCTTAATGCTTGTGTCAATGGGAAAAATTATGGGACCATCAAAAAGTGGTCTAAGTTATATATATATTTTAGAGGTGGTCACTTGTTCAGGTTTGACTGTATGGTAACTTCACTGCAAGAATGGTCTCTTGTAGGTGTGCTGCTATGTCTCACTGTGTTTGTCCTAGCTACAGAAGCATGTACCAACTGTTGTACCTGAGCTAACGATGACCTGATACGTGTTGATATCTCAGTGAAATGTATCATGTCCTATTTCAGACGTCAAACTCAAAGGCAGGAGAGCTACTCTGTAGGACTGGAAGCTGAAAGGTTCAATTCTCCCGACTTTTTGGGCTCCAAAATGTGTTCACTTGCTCCTAAACAGCACATTGTGTCTGTGATAGAGTATAAGATTAGAGTACTAGCTTAAAGTTAAAACAATACCGGCAATGCACAAATCAACAACAACAGTATAATTATTAGGCAAACAGTTGCTAGCTTTTGGGTCAGTATTGTTTTGATTGATCTATTTTGCCCTTTGTTTTTTGATTCCAAAGTAACTAAATGACAATATTTTCATCAGAGAATGGTAACCTATGCTTGAAATAATAGTCATGACTGTCACATGTGGGACAATTTGTCCTTGTGGTTACAGCCGTTCACAATCACAAGGAGAAGTACAGTCTGGTGGAAGTGACAGGTTTGGGACTTCCCAAATTTGGTGGTGCACATTTGCAAACAGTCAACGCCACAACAACACCATGTTTACTTGCCTAAAGAAATGGCACAGCACAAAATCCATTCTTTGAGCACTTAAATCATGCATAAAGGTTCCTTTCCTTCATTTCTGTGTACCTTTATGCTAGCTTTTAGGTGTGCTTAAAGATGGGATTTTGTGCAGTGAAGTTTGTAGTGTTGTACATGATGTGCTGTGTTCATAGGTGGTCATGTAGCTTTCTATATATAGTATTAGGACATTATTAATGTCTTGTTTTCCACCCTCTAAGACAAGCTAAGTTGTTGTGTAACAGCACACAGGATCAACAAAGTCTTCATGGTGCTTTGTCCATGCCCACATCGTTCATTACACAAGTGCACAGGCCACCATTTGTAATTATAGCCTCTACCAGGCTTCGGGAAGTGGCTGGAAAGAGTAGAAAATGGACAAATAGATGAAATGCCAGTGGAGTTGGTCTGCGCTAATAGTTTTCCACTTCTGAACTGACAAGCTTTGAATTTCGTTTGCTTTCCTAACTCCTAAAACTATAAGATGTTCAATTTCAGACGTCAAAGGCAGGAGAACCAGTCTGTACAGTGGGAGTCTCAAAGGTTGGAGTCTCCTGATTTTGGTGGCTCACAAATAGATGCAAATTTTATGTTCTTAGGTGCATAATTACAATATATTACATGCATAATGATAGTATACTTGTAGCATTCTATATCAGTAAGTATAATTATTAATCTATACTCCTTTGGTACACCACACCATCATAATTGACGCAACAGAAGATACCGTATATTCATTTCAATTTGAGACACATTCAATTTTTCAGCCTTTGTCAGTTAGTAAAGTGGAGTATGATAAATTGTGCTTTCTTTCAACTTACTCTACGAGTATTTCTTTCTTTCCTTGACAACAATGTGTAAAATGAAGTAGCATTTGAAGTGTACTACATGTAGTATATCATTTAGTGTTGTGGTACTCATTGATGATGTTGTATGATTCATTTGAAGCATTTGCAGGTGCAAACAAAAGACATTTTGTGCATTTTTTCCTTCTAATTGCAGACAGAACCGTGGAAATATAGAATCTGGTGATGGGGGCAGGTTTGGGACTTGTTAACTCGGGTGGCACACATCAATTTGCCAAATTCTTCTGCTGTAGCTGTGCTAAATACATTGTAGCTAGCCCTGTAAACATAACTTATAACAACTCTTTGCTGATTACTGCCACGGCTAATAATGAACAAATGCAACACACTTCTCCATTTCATTTTTCAGTTTTGCATGATGAGGTGGCTATGCATTGTCTGCTGATGCCATGTCACTAGCATGTTGCAATCCTACTGTCTTGGTTTGCCTAAAATTGTATCACTCGCAACAGTACAAAGTTAATGCAGATGACTTTGCACATCCCAAAGCATGAGAGATAAACAAAGTTACAAAGTTACAATGGTACCCTGGTTCATATACCGGGTATGTTTTGAAGTGAAGCAATCTTTTGTTTTCACTTGCTGTATGTATGTTTAGAATGTTTTATTTTGTATTTGTAACACAAGCAGCTCCATAGTGCATAGTGTTTAATCTGTGCTGCTTGTATGTTGAACTTCATTCATGATGCGCATTCATGTTTTTCATCTTGTCGGTTTTAAAAGGGGGGGAATGGGAATACTACTAGTATGAAGTGGAAAAGACTGTCATAATTGTAATGTAGAATGCAGCCATCACGTTTTTCTGGCAAAGCAAATTTTGCTGTTAGAAAAAGCTTAATTTTATCTCCCCCCATATTATCTTTTCACACCAATTTTGTCTGTCATGAGTGTCAAAATTCCTTCAAATGACAGACGTAGCCTGGGTGCCATCCGACTTGTAATGGCAACCCCCCCAAAAATGGGGTTGTTGTGTTACAAATCAGATGGCACTTAGTCCAAGAAAGATGGAAGAGACTGGCTAGAGCATTGCTTGCCAGACTTACTTACTTACTTGTGATAACTGTTAAGTCTCCCTCTGCATCTCCAGGGGCAGGGTCCAGCAGCAACAGTCCATCCAGAGGGAAGCAGAAACCGAGCGAGCCAACAACTCGGAGCTGCGGCAGAGACTGCAGGAGGCGCAGGCACAACTCAGGAACATGTCCGGAGCCGAGCACGACCTGGCCGCAGAGAACCGCTCGCTAAAACAGGCCGTGGACAGGCTGAAGGATGAGGTCGGTAGTGACAAGTGAACAACGTTATCAAGATAGAGTTGTTCTAGCTCTTTTATTGATCTACTGGCACCACAACTCATGAAAAACAGTTTTCTGAAAAGTAAACAAAATCAAACATTATTAACTTGCAATTGTATGTGGTCACAAAAATATGTATAGTTTGCTTCTCAAAAGACAAGCCACTGGCAGCAATTAATTGAGTTAACTGGCCGCAGAAATCAAGAACTGGAAGGATGATTTGCAAGATTCAATGTAATATCAGAAGAGTGTGCGTTTTTTTGTCCAGTTGTCTTTGTTCATTGAGTAATGCCTATTACGTTTGACTATTTTCAGGAACTGTTGTATTTCATTATCATTGAGTTAATGTCATCTTTAAGCTTTGTGTTATTATTACAGTAATCATATTTTGAATTTGAAAAAAAGGAAACAAATGGCAGAACAAATAGACTTAGCATCAAACACATCTTATACGCTACAGCTGCGGGCGGCACGTGAAGCGGCGGACAAGGCTCAGACGGAGGCGACTAAAGGCGTGAACGAGAAGCGTCTGGCGTGGCTGGAGGAGAGACAGGCGCTGGAGCGACGGGTGGAGGATCTGGAGAGGGAACTCCAGGCACAGAGTCAGAAACTGGACCAGTCTGTCCAGTATCAGAGGAAGGTGGGGATAAAATGGATGCTATTGTTTATTTAGACAAGAAATCTGAGTTACAATCCGAAAATAATTTCATCAGGTTGGTAGGACAGGGATTCAGAATGTAAAATAGAGAGAACTTAATTCACACAACAAAAGTGCAAAAGCAATGTTCATAAGGTCTATAACTAAACATACAGACATGTTGGTACAAAAGAATTGATGTACGTACAAGACTATAGATGAATGCACTTACACTACTTGTTCTGGGGTCTAAGCATTCTTTTACATATTTACCTATTTGTACACAGTAAGAATGAAGTTGAATTTAAGCATGAAATGTTACAGTAACAAATTCTGTTGAGCAAGCAGAAAGAAGCTCGCACAGCTTTAAGTATGACCTCTGGGGGTGAATTGCCTGAAATTGACGACATTCGGATGACCATATCCACCATGTTTTTGTCTCCAGCTGAAGAAAAACTGTTCCCGAGTTGTGCAGAAGTTGAAGAGCAGACTGAAGATTGTAGATGCCAGACGTGAGGAGGCTGTTCTGGAGAGGGACAAACTCAAGTAAGCTCTTCACTTCATCATTCACACTTAAATCTTACAGCAACCAAGATATCATGTGTCAATTTTGGAACAGACTTTGCAGATAGAACTAACTTACGCTTCTTTTGCACTACAAAATTTGAAACATAATCACTGTTTACTACACAGAACAAGTAGCATTATCAAAGGCTGACTCTATTGTTTATTGAAAACCAAAACCCATCACAGCCTCACGACTGAATTGTGAGGTTTGTACACAAGTCGCAAGCATGTTACACCTGCTAATATCTTATTACATATCTTATTCATATTGATGACATTATCATCTTCTTTCCGTCACCTTACTATTGACTACCTTGTACACTGTCTTGCCTGTGACTTTTGCCTGTTTCTGTCTTGTCATGCATGCTAGGATCACGATAATGAAGGAAAGGTATGAAACATGGAACTGTTCTGTATACCTTATGGGAGCATGTTCAACTTGGCAAAACATACTGCGCTAGTGCTAAATCTGTAATGTATTTATTGTGCATAGCACTATGGCAGGTCATATTCACATACTAGTACTTAAGCATGACATTCCGTCTGTAGTTTTCAAACGTTATGTTGGAAAAGATTTTGCCTGCAATAGGCAAAATTCTGATGCAATGTTGGCCAAACATCCACTGAAAACCATTAAAAATCTGGGTTTTGCACAGGGGCTTCTCGTACAAAAGAGGCAAATACCAATGCTGCAAAACTGTGCTTGTTCAAGATTCCATATTTACTGTATGATTGAGGAGTGAATCAGTTTGTGCAATGCATTGGAGGAGTCTACATTTGTACATGTAGTTAAAATGTAAATTTTCTTAAGTAAACAGTATTTGATGCTGAGGAATTTAGAATGTTCAGGAGAGGCTGTTTGTGTAGGTTTTACTGTGAGAAATTGTCCTCACACATGTCTACATCCTCCAGGGGCAACGTACCAGTGGAGACGTACAACCGCCTGAGGAAACAGTTCCGAGACTTCATCCGCAAACACAAGGAGTTCAGCATGATCGTAGCTGGCACCGGCGGGCTGCACGAGATATCCATCGGGGGCCTCTCGTTCGCCTCCGCCACGCTACCGCTGGACACGTCCCTGCCTTACGTGAGTTTTATCGAACAGGTATGCCGTGCCATCTAACAACAACCCTCCTCTCCTCAACTGTCATATATCCTGCTCTCACCCGCTTTAGAGTGGAACGTCCCTAATTTCACCCACATCTCTTTCAAAGTTGCTATGCTCTAGATCAGTCTATTAGTACGTCGAGGGGTGTGAAGTTGGAATGTTGAACAGTTTGGAGGGACGGTTGATGGATTGGTGTGCATGTTGGTGTGACGCCTGTCTCACAGCTGTCTAGATTTCTGTAGCATTTGTCATATCTTAGATCACATTCAATCACAGATCAAATACTCCTGTTCCATCTTTTTCTAGCTTTTAATGGTGGTTTTTATCAGTTTTATTGTTTGTCAACAACTCTGAAATATTTGGTGTGGCTGTTGACTTTATTTTGCCATCAAGACAGGTTGTTTTGTATGATTTGGTTTTGTCTTATTTATGTACCAACTTGTGATGTAATTCTTTTTTTTCATTGCTTTTACTACCTTATATCTGTGATCCAACAAGTATGGTTAATCTAACACTGAAAGGCATAAGTACACTGGTATTTGTTTTTTTGGACTTGAACCAAAATGTTGGGTCTGGTTCTGATTTGGTCCAGTGTACCAATAAGTGCCACTATGTCAAATAAAAAATTCTATGTCTCTTGCCAGCAGCCAACCCAGAAAAGACTAGGGTTGGTTGCATAACTGGAAACACAACATTTTTTGTCTACTAGTCTTAACCATCTTTACCCTTTCCATTTCCCAGGAGAGACAGCACCATAAGGAGCTGTCCATGGTGAGACAGCGGCTGGACGAGCTGGACGACCTTCAGAAACAGCAGATGGACGTGCTGACGGGACAGGGCCCGCCACCACGCGACGAGGAGGAGGAGAAGAAGGACGGGGAGCGCGCCTTCATCGACGTGGACAATCTCGAACTGTAGGGGCTCTGCAATATGGCGGCGCAATATGGCGGCCTGGTCATGTCACAATGCAAATATACTGGGTAATATTGCACCAGCATGTTGGCAGAACGTACTGCATCTGTGCGAGTCCCATAATGTACCGGTATTGTGCATAGCACTTCAGCAGAACATCTCATATAAAGTCATATTCGTGTGCTGATTAACATCCAGTCTGTTCGGAAAAGATGTCCTCTACAACAGGCAAAATCCAAATGCAATGGTGACCAAACAGCCAACAAAAAAAGTGAAGAATCAGGGTTTTGTACATGTTCATTATGTTCTGCCGACATGCTTACTGAGGTGGTGTTAGCAAGAGTGTTTCTTATACAATGTATACCGTTTTGTGTAAAATTAAAGCCAATTGTACATTGAAACCAACTTATGATTGAAATATGAAAAGCAAATTTTACAGAATTCTTTTAACCAACCAAAAACAATTTTTAGAAAGCCATTAGACATTGTTATGTGATGACTGTATAAGTAGGACATTATTTTTCCATGATAGGTTTTGAGCCACAGTCTTAAATACCACAATGCATACAATATTCCATTATGTGTTGTATTATATATTTTATGTTGTATTTATATGATATGGCAGCTAACAGTGTGTGCCATCTCTTACAAGATGGTAAAATGGTTTGTGTTTTACAGAATAGCAAACTAATGAATTATAATACCTGAGGGCTGAAGTAGAAATCTACATAATATTTTCCCAGACTATACAGTGGTTGAAATACATTTTTCTACATACCTGCACTGGAAACACTGAAAATTACCTGCACTAGAAAAATTCTACCTGCACTACTCAGAATTTAGGAAGTATGGATATACTAAAAACTGTTTAGAAACCATTGCCATTATTTCTTTTACTTCATACATGGTAACAGTCAACACAGCAAATAAAATATGTATATACATGTACATGTATTTACCTGGTACATGGACTGGCGCAGGTTAGGTGCAGGTAGACATCAGAAATACCTGCACAGCTCCTATTTTACCTGCACTAACCTGCATATGAAAGTGGTATTTTGATCCCTGCTATAGAGTGTTTTGGGTTCCCTTGTTGACAATATGGAGACACACAGTATAAATGTTAGGTTAATCAATTTTTGGGCTTCCCTCTTGAATTGAAGTACATGATATAGATAGACACTTATGACACAGAATGTGTATTGGTGCAACACAGTATCTATGCAACTCACACATGTGCCGTGTACACATATGTCACTTCATGTCCGCCACTAGCAAAGTCAGGGACTGGTTTTGGGTATTGTGTGATGAACATGACTGTGTACAAATGTCAGCACAAAAACAGAACTTCCACAAGTGAATGTGATATTGTTGTCCTGTCATGATCATGAAATGTTATTGCCTCAGACAACCATCATTTTACATGTATCAGCCATACTATATTTATCTAGTTCTAGCTTGGAGGTTGTATTCTAACATAAAAGGTGCTGATGTTGTATTGGATGAATTTCTAGCATGGGGCACAACTTTGTACCCAGATCTAAACCTGCAGAAGTAGCTTTTTTGGTCACCAACCCTGTTCAGATCAGTGTTTTTTGTTGTTTTTTGTGTAAACTATACAATAAGACAGAATACTGTGATACATTTTTAGGTATGGTGAACTGAAGTATGTCATGCCCCTTTTTTAAAGTTCCTTCACACTTTGTACAGTAATAATAGATCAATCGGTGTTGTGCCAATTATTTCTAACCTTTTTTAAATACCCAAGATTTTGTCTGTTGGTACATGTAAAGCACTGGTACATTACTCAGGTGTCTGTAGTTACCAAATGTTGGGTGTGTTTGATATATAAAGCACTGCTAGTGTCATGTAATGTAACATTGTATTTTTTTTTTAAACTCTTTCTTTTTATTGATATTTTCACATATATTTTGGACAGAAAGTATGGCATGTATACAAAATAAGGAAACACATGTGTAAACCACAAAAGTAAAACAGAAAATCAGGAGACAATGGTGTATGATCATTAAAAGAAAATAATATGAGTGATGAGGACATTGTATGTTTGTATGTATGTATCAGGTGCTGATTTGTATGTATTTCTTATACCAAAGACACTGAATAAAACCGTATGCTCAATGTATGGTTCTGAGTGCTGATGATTATGATTATGATGACCGATATTTATTTGGACATCGAGAAAGAACTGGGTTACAGCAACATCACCAATCAGCGGCCAAGGAGAACTTGTTCATGATCACACTTCATTTTATTATCATTTCAACCTTACTACTGTACAGTAAGTCAGTAACAGTAAGGTACGTGTAAAAGGATGAAGGGAAATAGATGTCATTTGTGTATCCCAGTTCAAATCATTCACAACAGGAGATAAATGATAGTAAACAAGACTTACATTTTAACCTCCAGGACAGGAACAAGAACTTGCATAATTCCTCCTCGACGGCTTTTCTATAAGATTCCTTCACCCAACCAGGGGCATTATGGGTCAAGGCATCAATGATAGCGGGTCAGTGACGTTGTGAATGTATTATCGCCAGGTTGCTGTTTAGAAATAGGTATAAAACAATTTTAAAAGGTTGCATTTACAAAAACTCTGCGGCATACTATGGGAAATGCGTCATTCTTTGTATCTATACATTTAATTGACACACAGAATTCAATTTAAGAAGTAGACAAATGAAAATCAGTCCCACAAGAAAATATTTTTGTAGACTCAGAAAACACTTGAATTTTAATACTTTGGCACTGATTATTTTGTTTAAAGCCTAAAGAACACAAAACGATTAGTTTTCGCCATATGAACACTTTCACAAAGTCATAATATGCAATATTTCGAAAAAATTCGAAACCCCCTTACGAGCCTTTTGCGTCTCGCAATTCCCAAAACGCCGAAATCTGGGAATGGAACTCCTTCCGTTAGCGAGATACGGCCTTTTTTCGCACTTCCGGTTTTCAAGCGCCTGAAATTAGGCTCTCTTGGGGTTTACGATTTTTACTTGATCGACGTACAAATGTTGTTCTTTTCAGAAAATGATAAGTATTTTCAATAAGTTTTCAACAGTTCTGTCATACATATTCTATAGTCTATAGATAGCACCAAAGAGAAAAGCCGTACGTGGAAGTTTTATTTCGATTTTTCGGTCCGCTCTCGGTCTCCCAGTTTGCAGAACGTGAATTTTCACTTGACACCGTGTGGTGAACCAGCGGCAACCGGAAGTGGCTATTCTGACACAGCATAACTGTTCAAAATTGCCGATTACGACAAAATTGAGCCGCTATTTATAATGATTTTCATTACTAATATAAAATTCTTGTGACATAAACTTTTCATTGGTTTATTTTAGGGAAGGTGTGATAGTTAAAAGCGGATAGAATAAGTACCGTAGGCGGCCTGTGGATCGTGAAAGGGCCGGGTCGGGCGGCCAGGTACATTTTCCAAGCGGAGGTTGAAAAATTGTGACCTTTCACAGAATTATCCCGTTTTATGTCAGCCTTGCGTCAGAAACAGGGCTTTCCCATCACTAATATCTTGATGAATATTCATTCAACATCACCAAGAGACTAGAACATTCAGTTCCTTCTCTTTGGTTTGTTGATGACTTGGGTCGGGCTGACGAAGTTACTAGCCTGGTATACAGTTTATCGTGTGATGGGCGGGCGGGCTCTCTTCGAGGTCGTGCCGGCCTAAACTACGCCGGGCGCTGGAGATTATTAGGTGATCTTAGGTACCTCGTACGAGTAACTCAAATCGCGCAAAACTCCTATCAAGTGCATAGGCAAGCGGGCGGCAGAGAGCTCATTGTCTAGAGCCCCGAAGAGAGCACACATTAGGGCTATGTATCAGGCGGCTGCGAAGTTATAAGTGCTAAGTTATTAATAGCCAACAAGTGAAGAGCGTTAAGTGCATGGATCAAAAGCGGCCTCTAGCAGTTGAATGAAGGACTGCGCCATAATGTTGGCTAAGTTGCTCCTACTTCTTTAGTGACTTTCTACGGGGCGTTTTTAAACCATCACGATTTCAGCACTATGGACAGTACCAGGTGGCACACTGTTGCTCCTGCTACTGCAGTGCTTTTTTGGCCCGTTTTTGATCCATCGTGATTTCAGCACCATGGTCAGTACCCGGTGGCACAAACCGCTGATGCTGTTACTGCAGTGATTTTTCTGGCCGCTGTGGGGCGTTTTTGATCCATGGCGATTTCAGCACCATGGTCAGTACCAGGCGGCACAAACTTGCTCCTGTTGCTGCAGTGATTTTTTCGGCCGCTGTGGGGGCGTTTTTGATCCATGGCGATTTCAGCACCATGGTCAGTACCAGGCGACACAAACTTGCTCATGTTGCTGCAGTGATTTTTTCGGCCGCTATGGGGCGTTTTTGATCCATGGCGATTTCAGCACCATGGTCAGTACCAGGCGACACAAACTTGCTCCTGTTGCTGCAGTGATTTTTTCGGCCGCTATGGGGCGTTTTTGATCCATGGCAATTTCAGCACCATGGTCATTACAGGGCGGCATGCGGCAGATACTCATGATCGTGTTACTGCATAATTTTTTTGGCCGCTATGGGGCGTTTTCGATTGAAGTCTGATAATACTTGTGAACACAATGGTGCTGATTCTGCCGTTTTACATTTGACCGTTACTTACTGCACCTTAATATGTTATATATAATAGATAAATTGATAAAATCTAAATGGTGCCAGCAATTGAATCTGAATCAGGTCAAAATGGTGCATTTCCTTTCTAAACTTACATAATCAATGTACAAAAACAATAGGCAAGGAACAATGAAATAATATACACTGTGGATACCATGATAGCTTTGTTAGGGTTTTATTTCTGTTTGAAAACCTTGTAACACAGGGTGCCAATTTGTCAATAATTTCATAAGCATAGGAGTTGGACAACCCTGTTTATTGATCAAGTCAAGCACAAATCATTGCAAAAGAAAGCATGTATGCTTAACACAGATGTACAAAATCTGAAGTACAAAAACATCATTCAAACACGTCAATCCTTAAATTGTTGCTCCTATCATTTCATACAAGTGATATCACCACATTAAGGTACAGATATCGTAAGTCTGGATTAAGAGAGTAATGCTTAAACGTATCACCCAATATAAAACCAAGAGAGTTCCTTAATGACAAAACATGTCTTCTATGTATGAGGATACAGCTGATATGTACAGATGGATACCAGGTCAGCTCCCATTTCAAGGTGTTCCACTAAGAAAAATAGACTCTTTTTCCTCACTTGTAATTTCACCAGAGTACTTACAGCTCTGTTGGTATGGAGGTGAATGTTGCCATGGCACACCCCTCTCTATGAAATGGTATGGCTCACACAGTCAGTAGATACAAGTACAAATTTGGTTATGTCATTTTTACATGATCAAGGTTGATTATGTAGTATGGCAAAAGGAGAGGCAATGTTACGGTCTAGGAGTATAAATGAGTGGTTTCATGTTTCTGTATGCACCTACCTGTTACAGCTACCATCCCCTTATTAGTAATCTACACCCTTATAAACAGCTTTATTTTTCACCATTGATCCCAATAAAAAACATTGCTTATTGCACACAATCATTTACCTTGATATGCATAGGTTATTAATATTATTACAGATATGTACAAATTTTCCCACAATCATATAAAGATAATATGTTGACCAATTTTGTTATACAATGCCACTGCTAAAATAATCCTCAGAAGAAAACCAGCACATTATGTTTTGAAATACTAATTATTATTTTTTGTTTGCCTCTTCTGAATTTTGAACCAACATGTACAAACAGGAATCAGAAGAGAACATCATTTAGGTTATGTCCTTTCCTCTGCAATTCAAAATTTTTTCAACATATGGCAAGATAGCAAGGGCTGGTTGTCTTCTGAATATGGCATATACAGAAGTCTTCAAAGTCTTGACAATTTTCTATGTATACAAGCTAAAGCTACACTTGGCATGTATATTGAGATTAACCATGGCATACATGTAATTACTATATATTGTAGATAAAATCATGGCTTATTTATTAATCATGGAAGCACTTCAATTTGGTCTGCAAGTTATTTACGGTCACAAAAATGCACCCTGGCACAGAAAAAAAATAAATATGAAGTTACAAGGACAGTAAACATAATGACTTACAACTTTTCAACATTAGTTTCACTGCGTAATACATAAACGTAAGTAACCTGGTCAACTCATGGATATATTACAACAGACTATATGACAATGATTTGATGGTCTAGTAAGAGTTAATGAAGAAAATATGATTGGATAATGATGTTTTTTCATAGTGTAAAGAATTACAATGCTGTACATTTGAATTGTACATCTTGTAGTGAGTGTTGAAGGATGAAAATGTTACAGTTACACAATGTGTCTACCTCACTTCCACAAGTACACTACTCATATTTGCTGTCTAAAATACATAAAAAAGCAGTCCCTTTGCACCGACTAAGCTTAGTAAGGCATTCAGTGGTTGGCTGTATAAGTGCACAAACTGTGTACAAAGCTTCGCTATGAAGTGCATGATGAGACGAGTCAAGGCATTGCTTTGGTGTAGCTCTGTGCAACTGGCTATGTACCAAATTCCTGTATATACACCTACCTCTAACTTTCAACAAAATTGTTAGATATTTTTTTCTTCTTCTGGCCTTTTGGTCCTCAACTAAAGATTCAATGTTACATTTTCACAAAAATCTATCCAAACTGGCCAAACTGCTATGGAACTCTTATCCTCTTGAAAATTGGAATGATCCACTGGCCCAACATCTTACGCAGGCTCATGCAGTTCTGCCCTTCATTCTTACAAAATAGTGAGATATTGGAATAAAAGCACTGGAATGAAAGGGATAAAGAAGATACAAGAGGCTCCGTATGAGGTTAGATGGAAGACCTGGACTTAGATTTTCCTTGTTTGGCTTGTGGTATGAAAAACCCTCCTAGAGTCCCAGGCCGGTCATGCTGCCCAGTTCTTAACTGCCATAAGAAAGGGAGGGGCTAATATTACATGATGTTTGTGACATGGCACAGTAAAACTACTGTATAGTTGACAACTGTCAATCAAATTGTTTCCACACTGTAAAAAAATGGCATCCATCCTGTGTCACCTTGGAATGACCTTCACAAAAATACAAACAGAGCTATACTGGCTAAAACTGCCCTGAATATTGCACTAGCATTTATGCCCGGGTCTTTTTTGATTGTCCTCTTCATGGTAGTGTTCTGTCTGTCGACATTCGTAACCTATTCAACTGTTAAATAGGACGCCACTACGCCTGCAATCCATTGCAATACCCTATAGCCCTTTATGTGCCAGAATTTTGACACTTTCACACATCTGTCACTCATATATGTACTGTAAATGGAATTATTTAAGTGTACAGGAATGGTCGGCATTTGGAATAGATTTGCTGACTCAGCCAGTTAGCCGGGAGCATGTCTATGAGTGCAACAGAAGTTAGTTAGAGAGCAGCAGAGAATGTTGGACCTGATGAGCCTCGCTCTCTGCTGTAGTGTTCAGACGTCTGTCTCCCCCTCCATGTTGGCTGAGATGTTCTCAAACTTATGCGCCAGCTGCATCCGCTGGCAGGTGGTGTCCTCCTCTAGTGCATCCAGCAGCTGTAAAACAGGTGGAAACTCAGGTGTTGAATTGTTTCCTTACTTACACCTTGGGGGGAGGGGTTAATTGTTGTTCTTCTTTCAAAATATGGCTGCTTTCATTAAATCAGATTAGATACTTTCTATTTAACATTTTCTATTTGTAATAAAATCAACAGATTCATGTTCCTTGTGGTAGGTTATGAAGGCATTTGAATACATTTATTTGGTTAGAAACATTGAACAGTCTGTATGATGTTGGATGTTCCCCCCCACCCCCTTCATCAGAGATGCTCGTGGGTGGATATTGAAATGCCTCCATATCTAGATTTGTGTAGAATGTTCAACTAGATGTGTGTCAAATTTGCTGCTTTTAAACAAAAGTGAACAACTTTTCCTGCCATGCTACTTGACTAATTTCCCATTAGTAAGACTAAGCTGTACCTGGTCCTGATACTTCATGGCATAGTCATACAGCTCATTCACAGCTGCCAGGGTGTTGAACTCATGGGTGTGGTCCTGTGAAAACAGCATTTTTGAGTTACATGTACATGTATACTAGAATAAAATACACCTCATAAAAAAATTGCTCATGCTTAACATAGTAACCTACTAGAAGATATTTCACCACCATTATGCCCTGCTCTGTTTTTACAGAGAAATGAAATACAACTGTACAGCATAGAGATAGGCATCAACCAGTATCATAACTCTCTGTAAAAGACAATGTGAGACTGACTTTTGTTTCCTCCACCAGCAGGGTGATCATCTCCTGGTCGCTGACGGCTGTCATCTGCTGAACCTCCCTGTAGTACGTCTGGACCTTCTGTCTGTACTGCGGGATCTCACGCGCGTACAGTAACTTGTTGGAGGGCGAGTCCTGCATGTGTACGAACTGTGGTTAGAACTGGAAAAACAATTATCATATTTTTTTTACAAATATCTAAATTGGTGCACACAATAAAAAAGAGTTTGCAAGATTATTATGGTGTATTGAATATAGAAGAAAGTTATCATTAACCACATAAGTCATGATGTAATAATAGGTTATAATTGATGCATTTTGCATAGAACAGAATAAAGTGCGGTGGTACACAGTAAAAAGTTGTGTAATGATGAAAACATTGCTGTTAACAATAAGTTCTAAATCCTGTAATAGACATCCTACTGGGAACCTGCTACCTCTAATGTTAGCTGTCTAATACAATTGTTTCCTATTGTACACGACAACTGATATCAAAAACCAAAAGTGCCAAACAGGTATAATATTAATACCTCACTCAAAATGACCATAACTTAAGGGATGTGAAAAACAAATTTAAGGTTCCATACCTTGCCCAGTTTGTGCTCGGCAGCTGAGCAGGAGTCGATGAAGGTCTGTGCGATGACGGACAGGCAGGCGTCCACGATGCCCAGCTTGAAGATGTCAAACACAAACTCTGGGTTCTTCAGTACGTTCACCCAGAACCTCAAGGGCACACTGGAGGGGAGACACATCATGAAAGAATGATGATTTAGAGAATATACCACATAAAATACAGGTAGGTCCAATCTTAGGGATATCATATGTTTTGCAATATCAATCAAAAACAATGTAGAAGTTACAGTACTGAGCAGAAACAACGTACAGAAAGTACATTGATTTGGAAATTCTGTCAATCAATGTGAGCACTGTGAAATTTGCCACAGAGGTCCTTGGTACTTTAGAATTGAAAGAAACATGTGGTAAGGTCAAACTAGTTCGAGTACATTCTTGATATACTACTTACTTGTGCACAGTAAGGATTATCTCCTTCTAGAATACTAAGTACAAAAATATTGAATTCATCTATAGGATCAGGATAGAATACATAAAATTCTGTTACCTGTTTACTGTAGTTCTAAGGTCTTAACATACTTTACTTGATATATTTAAGTATTTGTACACAGTAAGGGTTATCTCCTTCTACAATACAATTGAAGTCATCTATATTAAAGAGAAATGATCTAAAATTGTGTTACCTGTTTGTCTTCCAGATGTGCAGAGTCTCGGGATCGTCTATGCCGTGCTTCTTGGCCTCGTGGTCCAGCAGGTCGAAGAAGTACTTGATGGAGGGGGGGACGGGGCTGGTGCACAGGATGGCACTGAAGGCATCGTCCACAAACTTCTGCAGGGTTCCCTGTGGGGGCAAAATGTCCAAGATATAAACATCTATATACATGTACTAGATATCTAATGACAGCTCAGAAAAAAATAGTCATGCCTTCAAGTACAAATGTACTACTAGTCTTTATATCAGCTGAGAATTGAGGTGTTCAAAAAATTGTATTTTCTTAGCACTATCGTAGTGTTGTGTAGCACTATCTTAGCACTCTGCCACCAAGTACAGTAGGGGCATGATCACTAGATAGCTTTTAAAAAATAACAACAGTTACTGCAGTTAGATGTACAAATGTTGGCTTAACAAGTCGTTTGGTGTAATGTAGTCAGCTGTTGCTGCGCTGTGTGCCTGCGAAGCTGGTGTGTTATGCCGAAGATCTAAGTAACCTGTTTCATAACACCACTAAAAATGCATACAGTCACTTCGGCTATCTCATTCTACATCTCTGCTGCAGTTAAGATGTTGATAAATGATGATATACATGTAAATATGCTTTATTGCTGTAAAATTCAATAACGGTAGAGCTGAAACTGCTTTGATGAAGTTCTAATATTGGATCCCAGCAGCATGCTCCTCTGGGTACCCAGAAGTGGTTTCCATTGATGTCTGGAAGGCATATTTTTTATAGCAAAGTGGGGTCACAAACCCCTGATTCCACCTCTACTATAGACAGTGCCTGTGTTTCCTGACCTTGGTAGCCAGCAGCCTGGTGAGGTAGATCTCCGGAATGGCGCGCTGCTCCTTCAGGAACCTGCTGTCCCTCTTCACCGAGTTGGAACGTTCCAGTTCATCCCGTGCCTTCACCTGACCACGACACACATTACTGTTAGCTTCAACATGCCAAATTCAAAATGTACTGATACCCACTGAAGACCACGAGATAGAGTTTTATTTGGTTCATCACAACTGGAAAGTCACTACTGCTTACTATATCTTGTGTTTTGGTGTCAATTATTATAATGTGTGGCAACCATTTGCAACCTACATGTACATGTCACTTTGGTAAAAAGTAAGAACACTTGAAATCAACGTTTTCTTTATCCACCTGAAACTGAGATTTTCAATGAAATTCAAAGAAATTCAAAATGTGTAAAAATGCTTGTTGTAAAATGTTGCAACAAGTCTAGAACAATACACAAATAAAATATTGTGAGATACATGTATATACACTAGAGAGAAAAGAAAGACCAAAGCACCATGGCACCAGCTGGATGTGTTAGCTCACTGCAAACAACACCCTACTGTTGTTATGTCATATAACTGGCTATGTGCTTGAAAAGGCAGGGTTTTTGCCAGCAAAGCCTTTTCACAAAGATTCTCCTTTTGAAAGGATAAAAACTGCACAAGCATGCGGAAACAGTGTGAGGAAACAAAACAGAATGGCTGCTGTAGAACACACTGCACACAGGCAGTATAGCAAAGCGTCTCTTTTACCTTATGATTACGGTGGTTGGAAAAGTTGTCATTCACCCAAGAGTCCTCCACTTGCTATCAGGAGTCATCCAGGGAAGAGAGAAAGAGAGAGGAAAAAGGGTGTGTAATAGGCTATACCACTGGGGATGCATCCTTTCCATTCTGGCAATGGTACACTCAACAAAACTATCATTTTCTTTCAATTGGTGGCAACAAAAGCAATGGTAGCAAATTTTCTAATTGTTCAAATAAACACGTACTTATTCGAAGCAAACAGTTTGTATGATAGTGATACTACAGATTGAGGAAGTTCCTAAAAACCACTACAGAACCGAAACGATGCATCCCATACACCAAGCACCCTGTGACAAGATAGGGAGAAACTCCAAATTGACAGGGATAAATAAAGGACTTAATACAACAGCAGATGAAAGTCTGAAGCAATAGATATGGGTGGAAGGGTCCCTTGAGTTACAAGGAATAAGATCTATAAATACAGCAAAGCATCGAGGCTAGCACCAAGCTAAAAGCTGAGAGAATAAGTACAAATTATGGCTTCTTCATTAGCTGAAGTAATACTACTGTAACAGTAAAGAAACTTGAAATTTCCAAGTCACCAAGCTGGAGTCTGTGTTAAACAGTGTCTGAGGCTGTCACCAGGTACTACTGATTTGTAACTTTCAGAGAAGTTGCTGAAGAAAGTTCCGGCTATTTGGTTGGGTTTCAACATTTATATTATACACGATGATTGTATATTTGTGTAACAAAACAACCTGAGATGCACAAGGTCAATTAAATACATTGTACATCAATAAACACAACATCAAAAACAAATCTTGTACAGTTCTTGGTTTGTTCTTAAAGTCTAAATTAGACTTCAACTGTACATATAAGGTATGCAATATACAATCCAAGCAAGAGATGCCATGATATCCCAAACTGTATCTTATTTAACACATATGCAAAGTTATGGCTGTAGAAATGACTGTCTTGTATACGTTAATGTGATTCAGATATTGTCTTACTAACAGCAGGTTTAAGTAAGGACAATGTTCCCTACCAGGTGCCAGTAACGACAGCCTTCTTCAGGGTCTCCCTGCATCAATGGTGCCAGGGATGAGGAGGACAGGGACTGGTTCACACCAAGGTTTTCTGTGACAACAACAAGAAACCATTAAATTTACAAAACCACACAGCACCATCAATATGATCCCATTAGTGATGAACAAAAGAAAATGCGTGAAATTGCGTGAAGCGTGAAAAATGGCATGGAAGCATGACGCACAGCAAGGTATGTGAATGTCCCTTACTGTCAGCGTTCTTACCAAACGTCCTGTCCAGCTTCATCTGCTGCTCTGGTTTCCTCAGCAGGGCGACACTGCAGCTGTCTGGCACCTGGACAGAGAAGGGTTTCCAGTAACCGTTACAAATTCAAAGTGATCTCATTAATAGGAAAGGGATCTCAATCCAGTTTTAGCTCACTGAAGAACTAATCTCCCACTGATGATCTCCCAATGGTCATGACAGAGAAGACAGATGCTGTGAACAGCATTTACAGGTTCTACAAACAGTGGACCACAGCTTAATGTCCAGTCCTAAGGACTACAACCCTTTAGAGTAACAAGCATGTTGGCTGAGCAACAACAGCCGGGATTTGAACCCGCTAGTCTCTTGGTCCAGAGGCAGGGTCGCTAACCACTGGACTACACATGCAGGTTTACACAGTTTGTATAGTACATAGTATTATATCTTTGTTACAGGACTAAAAACAACAATACTTTCTTTACAATGACGACCTGAGATGGTACACAGTGAAAGTAAAACGAACAGACAAAAATTCATTCAAGGTTCTCCGTAAAATCTCCTCTTACCTTGTAGTGCTCCAGTGTGTTGAGTTTCTTCCACCTGTGGTTGGTCTCTGATGTGACATCTGTGTCCCTCAGGATGAGCTGCCCTGCCCTGCCATGTCTCCATTCTAACCACAACACAACAGAACAGTCATCCGTCATTCTCATGTCTTCATGCAGGATATTGGGTTTTTCTTTTATACAACCAGAAATGTCTCTCATTTCAATGCGTATCAGACATCTTCCTCAGAAATTCAGACTGGAGCACTGTTTCTTGCCAGTCATTGTAGTCGACATTAACATGACAGGTGGTCTCACAGCGCCACCACGCAACATTAGTTGGTACTACAACAATCCACTCCTCACCGAGTCACGTGTCTTTACAGACATCACAGAAGTGGTGGATTACTCATTGACAAAGACTGGAGTTGCACGAATGAAAATTTGGTCCAATTTCTTGTGTTGTTACAATTTAGTAATATCTTAAAACATTGCATTGATACGTCTACATCTAATGTGTTGGAAGCATAAATCATACCAAACAGAATGTCCCAAAATCTGTACCATAGAACAAAATTTGATGTGTCCTTACCCAGCTCACACTCATCAGCATGCAGCCGTGTGGAGTAGGGGATGTTCTTGTAGGCCATGTCCAGTATCTTGTCCTTGACTTGTGTGATGGTGTCACAGCTCAGAGCCTTCACCGTGAAGGGCATGTGGCCACTGGGACCACCAGGCAATGATACCACATTCAGGGTCTAAAGGGATGCAGATTTAGAACAAGAAGTTAAGACTGAAGCATATACAAAAATGTAAAACAAAATACTAACAAATAGTATGCAATTTAAAAAAAACTTTGAGAAAAGAACTTTACTCATACATTTGCAGTTTTTGATTTTCATAAGCTTTGTGAGCTATCAGTATACATGCACTGATTTCATTACAAAGAGTTATTCCCACACAATCATTGCCACCGATATGTGACAGATGGTCTCACAGTGCCACCTATCAACATTGGTTGGAACTGCAACATGTCCTTCAGTAATCAAGTGTCATTTGCATCATCCAATACATAGTCCCAACAAAGCACTGGCAAATGGCCGAAATCATTATCACCATCATCATTGTAACCTGACCTTTTGCCAACATCTCTTGGGCCAAGGCTTTTTTTAGACATCTCAGCAAAGCTATGAAATATCCAATACGCTTTTTTACATAGAGCAATGTGTACCAACATGACTTTCCAAAGACTCACCAAGACCTCATGGTCGACCTGTTCCCTCAGCAGCCTGTCCTCGGTGATGGAGTACCTGGCAAACCCCAGGATGGCGTCCACAGGGCCTTTCTCCACCTGGTACTTGATGGCTTTGTACAGCATGAACAGCGGCTGGCCGGCTGTCTCCTGCAACAGCACATGGACAGTTCAAGTACTGGGAGACCTCACTGTTGTGTCCTTGGGAAAGGCACTTAACACCTATTTCCTCACTCAATTCAGGTGAAAATGAGTACCTAGCCTCAACTAGCCTATTTTTGAGGACAGTCACATGTCAAGCACGTTAAAGATCCTCTTATCAAAAAGAGTATGGGGTCCTTTCAAGTCTGAGTGGTTCAAACCTTACAGCCTGGTCTAACGCAGCTTGTACTTACTGTACAAAACTGGTGTGTTATGCCTAAAGGCAGTTAACCGCTTTTCCAAAAGAATCAAACAAACAAACAAACAAACGTGCACTGATTTAGTAAGTATGCAGTTAGTATAAGTTAATAAAATTTGTAAAGATACCAAAGAGGAGAAGTTGTTCCAGTTGGAACAGTGTGATGTACAATGTAGGATGAGTCTAAATACCTTGAGGAAGGGATACAGTGAAATTGACAGCCAGTTGGTCAGCATCTTGTCCACCACACTCTCTGTCCTGCAAACACAGAATCAAGTTTTCAGCGATGCTTATTTCAAAACACACTACTGTGTTTGTTGCAAAAAATGTACACGATGGCTAGAAATGACATCTGTAGTAACTGTTACAAATGATAGCCGCTTTTTATTTACCTCCTGAGCATGAGTTTTGGATTCCTTTCCACACTTTTCTCAATCATCTGTAGCAGCAGAGTCTTCAGAATGCTGTAGGAAAAGGAGGAGGGGCATTATTATCATTGGTAAACCGGATCGGTCAGGGTTACCACCCGTTATGGGGTATAGATTCATACAAGATGGGGCGTGCCAGGCTTCAAGACAAAGTTAATTTAACTACCGGGTACTTACTCTGTATAGTACTCCATCTTGCCATGCAGAGCCACTGTCAGTAATGATGCCACATTCACCCTAAGGAAAAAAAAAAATCACTTGATCACAATGTCCGTGTGACAGACATTAAATCCAACAGAGTGCATATGATGCTTCAGTACTGTATTTAAAAAATTCATATTGTCCAATTATCAACCAATATCGGAGAGCTACTGTATGTGAAAATGGAATGTGATTGCACTTGAAAAATAAAAAAACAATACAAAAAGAAAATGCCGAATGATTGTATTTGTGCATCAATGAAGGTTAGATATCCTGGTTAATTCCAGTCACTGACAACTGTAGATGTATACCCATTACTGACTTGTATTCATCTCTTGATTCCATCAGTATCTATACATAATAGTGTGTATTGAGATATTTCCAACATAGCTTGGGAATCATATATTAAACACATTGTACTAGAGTAGTACAGAAAGGCAGACTGACTTGTCCCTGCTACTGAAGCTCTCCCGACTCTCCTCCATGATCCTGATGAAGGTGAGGAGGAAGTGTTTGTTGTTGAGCAGGGCTGAGAACTGGTTCATGGCCTGTTCCCACTGCACACGCCGGCTCTCTCGCACCTACACAACAACAAAAACAGCTCCGTCAATAGTTACATCAGGTTAGTAAGACTAAGGGGCACTGTCCTTGATGCTGAACTAAGGGACACTGTCCCTGGTGCTGAACTAAGGGGCACTGTCCTTGGTGCTGAACTAAGGGGCACTGTCCTTGGTGCGAACTAAGGGGCACTGTCCTTGGTGCTGAACTAAGGGACACTGTCCTTGGTGCTGAACAAAGTGCACTGTCCTTGGTGCTGAACTAAGGGGCACAGTCCTTGGTGCTGAACTAAGGGACACTGTCCTTGGTGCTGAACTAAGGGGCACTGTCCTTGGTGCTGAACTAAGGGGCACTGTCCTTGGTGCTGAACTAAGGGGCACTGTCCTTGGTGCTGAACTAAGGGGCACTGTACTTGGTGCTGAACTAAGGGGCACTGTCATTTGAGATACATGTACATGTACCTCTTGAACAGTTCCCAAGTGGGCATATCTTAAAACGTATTGATATGTACTGCATTTATGAAGAAAAAAATCTTTGCCAACAGAGTACAACAATGTACATGCTTTCTGCTGTTGATACTCTAACAGTCTATCAAGCCCAGAGGAGGTGTCTGCCACTTACGTTGGTCTCCTTCAGCACAGGGTGCATGTCCTGTCCCGGGAACAGAACCCTCATCATGTAGGTACGGTAGTCCAGGAACGGGATGCCGGTCCCACCCAGGTCAGAGGTCAGGTCTGTCATGTCCGTCTGCAGCTCTGCAAAAGCTGACGGACACAAAAAGGAGAACTGTTAAAGAAGTGATTCTACATTTGTACTTGTGTGAAAATGACATAAAGTGATAGACCTGTAAACAGCTTCACCTATTTAGACCCTTCCCAAATGTTGACTGAAATTTGGGTTCAGACTGACCAGATTTAGTTCATGCCTACCTTTCTATATAAATCAAAACGAATAAGAGTTAAATTTGAGTCAAATTTGACCCCCAAATATGTCCCAAAACTGCTGACATCACTAACACCTGCTAACCACTAGCCAACCATTGCCAACCCTTACGTCCATATCCAAATGTTTTAAACACAGACGAACAGTACCCGACCTTGCTAAACACCAACTGACCTTGCTCCCGACCTACTTGTAGCAGTGTTTATGATGCCATATTTGGTTATGTGTGACAGGAGCTTTAGTCTTAGACACATGTACATGAACGACATTTTTATGTCAAAGATAATATTACCTTTCTTGCACTCGTTCCTGACGTTGCTCTCCAGCGTGTCCATCTGTACCATGATCTTCTCGTACCTCCGGTTGGCCTCCTTCTTCTTACTCCTCATGATGAAGAGCAGGGCGATGATGATGAGCACCAGGAAGCCGCCGGCAGCGGCGATGAGGATGATGGCCCAGAACGCCAGCCCTGCTGGTGGGATCTGGTACTGCAGCTTACCAATCTCAAACCTCAGGTTACCCACTCTTACCTGGGGAAAAATCAACACATTCAGAAAACTAGAAAGGTAACATTTGCAAAGGAAATGCATCATGTTTACCTTCGCATATTGGTCTGCTCTGTTACTCAATCACATTCATATATATAGTGACAATGAGTCTAAATCCCTCCTGCTAAAAAATTGCAGCATGATGTAATCCAACACTAGTTACCATGGTGACAGACGTCTGATTTAGGTCATTGACCTTATTTGTTTGGAAAAGAAGAAGAGGAAACAGCAAAAACAATATGATTTCCTTCGGTTTTAGTTTTAGATTGTCTTTTCTTCCAACTACTGAGTACAATTTAGCTAGTAAGGTTTGTATTTCACTTCTACTATGGTTTAATAAATAAAACAACTGCAGATAGCACAGGGTCTTTTCGTAAATAAATGCTTTATCTAATATCTATACACATACCGGTAATAATTATACTCTATCATCATGTTGGTACCATCTATATTGTTCTACGTTCCAATCCAAGAACTGCTACAATCTTTGCAGCACTGCAGTTCATGTTCAAAGTGCCAGAGGGCACTGCTACAAGCACAACTCACCACTACAATGGGGAGAATCTCCTTGGATGTCTTCCCGTCACTGTCCAGTCCTGGTGGCTGGGACTCTGGAGGTTCACAGGTCAGCGTGTCATCATCGAGGGACGTCACGTTACAGATCTCTGATCCGATGGTCACCTGGACATCATCCTGGAAGCTTGCCTGGTCAAGATTCCTGCCCTGTAGTTATAAATAATTGTTTCAATGTTAGGACTCTTAGACATGTGGAGTTACTGCAGATGTTCCAATGGTCATCAAGTCTGTTCCACTGTTCTAGCCAGCGTCCGTCCATCCTTTTACAGAATTTTGACACTTATGACGTACAAAGTTTGCTCAATCTGTCTTCTTTGATGGAAAAAAATCAACAAAGAGATGTCATTGAACTAAGCTTATTCTACGAGCAAAAGTTGCCCCTCAAAATGAAGGAAATACTGGTCAAGATTTAAAATGTTCAGGGGGCCCCCTAGGAATGTTGCACCTCTAATTACGATGATGAGAAAAAAAATTGGGCTGGCTAGAGCACTGGTCTGTTCACAAACAAAAATTCTAGAAAGAGGAATTGCAAAACATAAAGAAGCCTTGACAAAAACTTCCTTGATATGTAAAACAAAAGAATACATAAATGCTGTCAACAAAACCAATGAAATATCATTTACCTCGATGGCAAGGATTCCCCCTGTGTGAAGCTTTGGGTTGTTCTCAAATTTGAAGTACTCAGGATTTGGCACGTAGACAAACTTGCAGTTGTCTGGGTTCACCTGACACCCCGGCAGGTTGGCCAGACTAATCCGTACGTTGTCTAACTGGAAGGTCAAGTCCACGTCTCCTGTACTGTTTCCCATGTCAGGGGAGGGGCACGTCATCATGCTGTCACTCTGGATGTCACACGACTGGAAGGGAGAGGATGGGAGAACCAATAGACTGTTAAAATTGCAAACTGTATTTAAAGCACCCAAAGGAAAACGCTCAGAGCGCCCTGACCTATTATTTGAACAGTGTACCTTCCAAGTCTTCATCTTTCTAGCCACTGATTGGCTAACTCTAGTCAGTGCAAAACGAGATACTGTAAGCTGTTTGGTTAGCTCCTAGAGCGCCATGCCCTGAGTGAAGTAACAGGCAGGGCGCCCTGACCTTACTGTGATAGAAGAGTATGAAAGGCAGTGGGGTACAACTCTTGTCATTTCTGATGAAGACTTTGGAATAAAAAGTCGAAACCAGTAAAATTGATAGTCTCAGCCGTCATTCTTCTGATGAACTCTTGACTAAAGCGCCCGATGTGATTTCAGGCTGATAAAACTAGATTTTCAAAGTCAATTTTCTGGTCATCTTTTCAATGTAGTTATGTAGAATCAACCCTATCCCATAGCATACTGATATGTGTGAGGCAATGAAGTCACTGCTGGAAAGCGGTTGCCTGCGTTACATTGTAATCTGATTCTAACTTTTAATTGGTATTGGTGGTACTCCTCACATGGCTTGTTTTTAGGCTATTTCAATTGCTTTAAAATATGAAATGATAAGAAAAATGTGCTCAACATGGCAGGATATGTCAATACCAGACAGGTTTCCTCATCCAGAATATTGTTTGCTTTCTCCCCTGAAATTCCATTGGATGCCTAATGATTTCTGTGTTTATTTTTCTACCACAAACTCATCCTAACTACAAACAATCAGTAAAGACTAGCTCCCAGGCATTGTTAAGGCAACTTACCATGGAGGCCTCAGTAGCCTGTCTCTTCCTCCTGGCTGTTGTAGAAGTGGACACCCTGATGCCTGCGTTCTGGACTATCCTGAGGTTGGTGCCTCGAACTGTCAGCTGCCGCCCGCCACTGGAGAAGCTCTTGAGTGGGAACACTTCCATGACGGTGGGGTCGTCTGTGTAGTTGAATTTTCCCGGTGCATCTCGCGATTGTCCGTCAAACAGGACCTGGAGCGTGTACCGGCCCGTGGCATCGATACGGCCTGTCTGACACTTCACAGACACGTTAGTCCTGCTGGACCTAAGGGAAAAACACACAAAAAAAGAGTTGTTAGACAAATCTGTGAAACATATCTGAAGAGAGTACTATTACTACTATCAACATGTTGAAATTATTCAGATACCAACCCTCATAAATGTAACTAACTAACAGAAGAGGCCCTAAATTCGCCGCTTTTTTCTGAATCTTATTTTTAAAGGCCAATTTTAAGAGCCAACATGCGTTACATGTTTTAATTCTGCTTTGGCATTTTGTCTTTACTACCTGTATGCCACTAGATTAATAAATAACATGTTTACAGAAAAAGTTTTGGCAATGAGCAGGATAATTTTTCATACAAAAACAGAAATACACGTAAAAGATTTCTCTGCTCAACAGTGAACTTCTCTTTACTAAAATGTGGTTTACTGCTTATGGGAAACAAACAAACAAACAAACAAACAAACAAACATATTCTCCTTACTCGTCAACAACACAGGGTGCCCACATGTTGTCTCCTGAGCGACCAATCCTGGCCGTGACTTCCCCGCCTGTGTCAAACAGTTCCCCCATGATGAGCACCTTGGTGCCTCCCGACTGGGGCCCGACCTCTGGACTGAAACCTGTCACTCTAGGGTCCTGGGAAACAGGAAATCAAAATCAGTATTTTGACAATAATATCTTACCAGAAAGGTACATATAACATTTGCAAAGCAAATGCATATAATGTTTACCTTCACAAATGGTCTGCACTGTTAATTCTTACTCAAACACATCCACATATACGGTGACAGGAGTCTAAATCCCTCTTACTATAAAATTGCAACATTATGTAACCCAACACCAGTTACCATGGTGACAGACATCTGGTTCAGATCATTGACCTTATTTCTTTGGAGAAGAAGAGGAAAGAGAGCAAAAACAATATGTTTTCCTTTGGTAAACATACATGTAACAAGCCTGAATATTATAAACTCCAATGTCGAGTTCCATTTCTTGGCAAGTGTATCATTTGATACAGTTGAAAAAGATCATAATGTGAAAAGCCTTGACTACTGTAGTTTTGTGAATGTAGATGTAGCACTCACCCTATAGTAGAAGATGTCTGAAGACTGTCCCCGTTGGTTGGAGTTCCCCCCTACCTGTACTTCAACAGTGCCGCTAGTGGTGGTCATAGCCTGTCCTGTAATACACACAATCCTGGGGGGAGAGGGGGAATCTAGATGTTACACAAGTACATAAACAACAACCAGCACTGTCATTGATGCTGAACTAAGGGGTACTGTCATTGTACTGAACTAGGGGGACTGTCCTTGGTGCTGAATTAAGGGGGACTGTCCTTGGTGCTGAACTAAGGCTGTCCTTGGTGCTGAACTAAGGCTGTCCTTAGTGCTGAACTAAGAGGCACTGTCCTTGGTGCTGAACTAAGGGGCACTGTCCTTGGGTTTGTATTTGACATTACTCAAATCCAAGACCACTTTAAGACTATAGGTTAACATGTACATTTATGTACAAACATAACCCTCTGGTCTAGAGTTTTTCTTACTTGTTGGAGATGCTATACTGGTCTTCAATTGGTCTGCAGGACTGCCCAGCGATGGTCACACCGGCCATGATGTCAGTAAACCTCTGTCCCATGTTCACACCTGTGATGGTCACACTCGTCCCACCATTCACAGGACCACTCTTGGGGGAGAACTAGAAACAACAAGGTGACCACGTTAACAACAATTAGATCTATACGTCATCTGTTGTTCATACTTTTTTAGGATCTAGGAGCAGCTTTGGTGACATGGCACCAGTGTTCTAGCCAGCATCTGTCTTTCTGTCATTTGACAGAATTTTGCTGCTCATGAGAGACAAAAATTTTGCCCAATCCATCATCTTGGACAAAAATTGGCATGTAAAGAAATGGAAAGAGGTGCCATTAAACTAAGCTTAGATTACCCGCAAACTTTGCCAAAATCCTGGAGTGTCTGTTGTTGCTTATTCTATCAGATCAGAGTCTCTACCCTGATAGAAAAGTTACTTTAAAAACTACTTTAAAAGTTCATGCAGACACTGACACAGTGGACCTACATCAGTAATGGTGGGTGCAGGACAGTTCATCAGCTCCCAGGTTCCACCGCGATTCTGGCACACCTGACGCACGGTGCACGTGTCCCCGCACCAGCCGCACGAGTAGCGAGGAGCTGCCGTCACACACAGGCTACAGTCTGTACGCTGAGACGAGCACTTGTACAACGTCACTGTATGAAAGAACAATACGTGGTGTCACAAAAATGTCTACAACCAAAATGTCATCAAGTAAACTTGCAAAACTAGTAACAACTTTCAGTTGTGTTTTAGCATGAAAGTTCATCTGTGTTGGTATACTTCATTGTGGTGAAAAGGGCTAAACGTTCTAGCCAACACTAGGTAAATTTGGACATTCCGTGAACAAGGCTGACGGGGTCGGTCGAAAATTTGGGTAAGTCTCAATTTACCAAGTGTTGGCTAGAAAGTTTAGCCCTTTAGTTTCAGTATTTCAGTTGTGTTGTTAGATGTTCAGAATAAATGTACTGTTAATGCATACTTGTTAAACCGTAATATATAGTGATCTGAAATTACGTGTCTTGTTTTCTGTAATTGGTATTGCAAAGGATGATGCCACCAATGTTGTCTCTGTATCGAATTTCAGTATGTTACAGTGAAGATTAGTTCTAAAGCAATTTTTTGGACTTAAATTTATGTTACATATGTATCACGATCTTGAGTGTAAATCATGCAGGAAAACATGCCTGTTTCGCCTAGAGGGTTATCAATGATGTTGCTGCGCCCCCAACTGGCACCTAATGCAACGGCCAACTCCTGCACATCCTCCCGATAAGTATACTGTAGGGCAGGCATATAAATTCACTACATTAGACACCACAAAACATGGTGAGAAATAGTTGGTATTAGTCATCAAACTGACAGGAAAAAATGTGCTCTTGACATCACAGCTTTTCTACAATTCATCAACTATTTCAAGCATATTACACTGTAAATAATCAAAATTACCCAGTAACTTGTTATGCTATTATGCTATTATTCAGTACTATTAAAAACACAGTAAGACAGTGGCAATAGATTTTTTTCCTCCTTGGAATTTACCCTTCAGCACAAGCTTATGATCATGAATGAATGGCGCCACTAGTTCCATCAGTGGCTGGGTTAATACCAGACAACTCTAATGAGTACACATGGGATTTGTTATCCTCAGATACTCAAATGAAATTATCTGATTCAATCTCAAACTAGAAAGGTAACATTCGCAAAGGAAATGCATAATGTTTACCTTCATATGGCCTAGCTTAACATTCTTACTCAAACACGTTCATACATAAGGTGACCAACCCCTTGCTACATAATGTAATCAAACACCACAGGGTGTCTGCTACAACACCAGTTACCATGGTGACAGCCATCTGGTCCATGGCCTTGAGGAAGAAGAAACAGAGCAAAAACTATATCTTTTCCTTCTTCTACATCGAATCAGATCAGGTCTGTGAAGGTTTTTGAAAGGTTTAGAGCATACCTGCATTGGGGAACAGTAGATGATGCCATCCCTGTATGTCGCTTCTGTTGTAACATACACACCCTGGATGAGCAGTGAGCACCTGAAGTCATCAGCATTGTCCTGTGGGGGGACATCTTTATCAGTTATCATCTGAACTTTTGTAACACAATATTCATAGTTCATTATTAGTAGTAATTGTTACACATATTAGGATTAAATGAACAGAAAATTTTTGGACAGGATATCCTTCTAATCATAATATTATACATAATATGAATGGACAGTACAGATAAATTCTTGATTTATTTCACGGTGCTTTGATGTTCATGTTTTGCACTGTCACTTCTGTACTGTGAACTTATCATTACCGTTAACAAATTATTTGTCTTTCACCCCCCTCCCCCACAGTGAACACATATAATTCCATGCACATCTCCATTTTTCTCAGACCGTGAAATTCTGCTACCATGAACATTAAGTGAACATCTTGCATAACATATCAAATTTTCATAAAGCAAAGTATCATGACATCGTTCACAAAGTTTTGGGTAAACCACTCAATGCTAAATGAAGTTGTCCTGTACCGGCACATTGCTTGCGCTCATGTTGATAGCTTTGGGTAGGCCCACTGGTATAAGTTCCTCGCTCATGAGTTGTGTAATCCGCGGACAGGAGTTCCTTTGCTGTAGGAGAAATAGAAAAATGCAATTCCATGATGTTAAAAACTTATAATTGCTTGCCTGAAGGCCAACGATAGCAAGGAGGCCTACCATATAACAACATTACCAGTGAGGACAGAGAAAGTAGTTACTACACGAGTGGCGACATTCCCATTGATTGAGTCAAGTTCAATCATTACGGCAGTTTCAACCAGTCGGTCCCAATCAAATCACAGTATTGGGTACAGACTTATCACAACACCACGACAAAGTCGATTGTACATTAATTTCTATGGATGCAGACAGAATGCTTTTTATCTGCCTGCATAGTGATTTCTCTAATTGGAAATGTCTAGACGAATTGTGTCGTGTCAAATGCAATTATTTAAATCACCCGAAGGCCAAATGTCTTTTTCACCGGAAAGCCCCCATCTGCAATCAATCTTGATTAACGGCCTGTTAATTTCAATGTAATTAACACATTGACAAACGCACTTGCCTAATATAAATAGATTAGGGCGTTGGGAATGGATGGAAGTGTCAAAGTCACTGAACTGCTATGAATTTTGATGACTCGGTCGAGTGAATACAGACTAGCGGCTAACCTACCAATCGATTTTCAAGATGCGGCGAAACTTACAATTTACAACCCTAGACTTTCAAGTTGGCTAACTTTGTACGTTGTTGAGAAGAGAATCTGGAAAGTCCTAAGAAAACTTTACAGATAGGACTATGCCAAATATAACAGTGCTGTATCTCTCTTTTCACTGCAAAAATGCACATCTACACAAATCATATCCAGTTGCTTGAGTAACTGCTTTTTGGCGTATCGTATTACCTGGATGTCTAACCTTCATCGACGTAATGGTTGCATGTTTCGCATCGTACTCATAGGCTGGTTCTAGCTATTTTTGGTTGTACCAAAAGATAGTGGGTAGCTAAATTTTGGGCTATTTCAAATACTTCAATTAAAGGATTAAACAATGATGAAAATGTACTAAGAAATGGCAGTAAGTTTCAACTAAAACAGATTTCCTCATTCAGAATATCTTTTGCTTTGCCACCCTGAAATTGCATGCATTGGATGCCTTTAAAGAAAAGTTATTAAAAGGGTTGATTGCAGTCCACTTACCCCGTGTGCAACAGTGGTTCCACCCGGCTGGCAGTTATCGGCAATGTTGTGAGTACACTTGTTGTCTGACACACACCAGTTACAGTCGTATGTACTGGTCACACAGGGGTTACACCTGTATGATAGTAGAGAATGGTAGGATTATCTGTATCTGTATCTGTGTAGCCAGTATCTGTATCTGTATTCTGTACAGCCGGTATAACCGCCTTTCGGCGTAACACAACTTCAGCTTTGCAGGCACGCGGCGTGGCGGCAGCTGGCTACATTACACCGATCAACTTGTTACACCTAACCATTGAACATCTAACTCTAGGCACTGTTTAAAGCTACCTAATGACAAAGCCAGTAGAACTGCCCTTTGGCGTAACACATCAGCTTCGCACGCACACAGAGCGGCAGCATTTAACTATATTTCACCGAGCGACCTGCTACACCCAACCTTTACACTCTGCATTGTTTGAAGCTATCTAGTGATGATTCTTCAATTGTACTTGGTGGTATTGAGTTCCACTCTAACTAAAACAGGCATGACATTGACTATCATGATCTAAGATAGATGTGAGAAAGCCTTTTACTCCCCGCCCACTCTTTCTCATATGGAACACAACCATCCATACCAAAGATCTATCTTAATCTATCAAGCAAGAACGTCAGTACGTCAACTCAGCTTTAGTTCTGCTTAGGGAAGCAGTTTTTAATGGCAGACTCACGATTTGAGAGCGTTGCAGTCAAAGAAGTCGAACTGCGCCTTGACGATGTAGCGGTCCGTCTCCCGAACTCTGACCCACAGGTCAACAGTGACGTGATCTGAAACCAAACAATGCCCCGCTGTAACCTCGAATTGTCGGTACATCAATCACAACGTCCACGGCCATCAGATTTGGTCATGCAGCTAATAAATTTCTATCATACTCACTCAACAATGGCATAAATCTGTGTGAACTAACACGAGGATTTCAGACTCCCTCACATCTTATTTGTCTGCACAAACTTGATGAATGTACTGTTTTTTTCTCCCTTTGGCATGATACAGGCCACATTCGTTAACAATGGCACATGTACAAGCCATTTGAGGTAAAGCAATTCAGGAAAGACAAAGCATTTTGCACCTTCTTTGAAACAAATACCTACAATTTATATACATGTAACGTGGAAGGGTAGAGATTGTGATCTGGCAGAAGTGCTGATTCTAACTGGCATAAGTGCTGAGACTCTGATCAGGATACTGTTAGGCTGGTCTCCCATCTACAAATCTTTAATTTCAATTCAATCCAATGATTTACACTGACAAGAGTTGATAAATTCTGACTTTCTTTAAAGGAATGTCTTAAAATTTACAGATTTTGATGGGGATCTCTACAAGTCTCTGTGACAGAGACTCCTATAAGGATCTCTATATATATTATATGATACACCAATTCGGAGTCTCCACTTTGACATATATCTGTGTTTTCATATATTGTAAATCACTTAGGAAAAGTTTGCGGTCTTAGAAAAATGGACAAATTAACGGAACTTTATGCTCGCGGTGGGAACAGACGAAGAGAAAATTTGCGGTACAGAGGAGTGACTGCGAAAACTGCGAAGATAAAAGTACCGCAAAAAATTGTGTTTTACAGTTATGTATCACATATTTTAAGTGTACCCACCTCTCCCGGGAGGAATGGATGGGATCTGTGCGGGGGGAGGGGTGCCCTCACACACCAGCTTGCCATTGTTGTCGAAGTTGGCGGGGCTGCTGAACCTGACGGAGTTGTGGCGGAACGAGCAGTCGTATTTCTGTCCACCATCGGGCATGCGGACCACCTCCAAGGTCAGCTGGTGGGAGGGCAGGCCAGAGAACAGAATAAGGCATCTGAAATCACAGTCTTTTTTCTCCTGGTTATGAATCCTTCAATGAACAGTTTAAGTAAGGTCAAACTTCCTTCCTCCCGCCCATCTCAGTTTCTGTAGGACTTGGACCAAACATTTGAGCAATCACTACAGCAGGGGGTTAGACCACTGGTAAGTTGGTAATGGTTAGTGTTTAACTCAAACACTCTTTCTCAAGTGCTGAGTGCCAAGCAGAGAAAGCAGTATGTACCATTTTTAATGTCTTTGGTAATAAATAAAAAAGACTCTGATCAATCCCATGATGACCTCCTAAATGCAAGGCAAACACTCAACCCACTTGGCCAGTGCACCAGTGTCTTTGACGAACAGTAACAACTGTAACTCTGCACTAAGAAAGTTTAAGGCTTTCTAAATAAAATGAGAGTAATTCTACCATAGCAACACGTTAACTACACGTAGTATGACAATTTGCAACTATTACGATAATTTGCAACTATTGTATCAAATACAATGCTCCGTATCACTGTCCTTACTTCCGTGTTCCATTTTCAGGGATGAAGTTAGCGAAATTGTTTTTAGCCAATCGCTAATTCACCGTGTAATCCCCTCATTCTCCGGTCTTAATCCCCTGTATTGATCACATCATGAACAGGGATTACGGTACTTAGGGAGATGGTTTCCTTACGCTGGTTCTGGGTCCTTCCCGTGCCAGGTTAGGTGGATCGATCTGGGTGATCTCGATACACCTGTCCACGTCTACAGATAGCCAGCGGTTAACCTCGTTATGGCCGTTACACTCCTGCTTTTGTGAACACCTGGAAACAACACACAAAGTGCTCTGTGAGAATGGCAAAAACCTTTTGAAATCTCTTACCATAAAACTTACACAAGAGGTAAGAAAATTCAAGAAATCTGAATACAACAGGTATTACATGTACATGTACATGTACATGTACATGTACATGTACATGTACATGTACATGTACATGTACACTTCAGTGCAAAACCTGTAACATATTGAGCATAGCATTTTGGCAGAATGTCTTGTATTCGCGTATTTCAGGATGATATCATCCTGTAAATAGTTGTCAAATGTTGTGTCAGAAAAATTTCACCGCAACGTTGATCAAACATTCTGCAAAAACTGTGAAAAATCTGGGTTTTGCACAGGTACAATATGTTCTGCCAACAAGCTGCAATATGGAAGGGAGGGCTCAATGATCAAATAGACTGTGTGAACCATTACATATCTGTCATACAATTTCTTGTTCTTTGAGAGGGGATTTCTTTTTGACGTTTCTAAGAAGACTAAATGTAATCTTAAGAAGTCAAGGCTTTTCTCACTTATTTTCCAGTGTGCACCATCCACAGTAGGGATCCCCTGCACCATGACATGCCTCACACGTGTCGTACTGTCCACACTCTGCCACTTTCACCAGCGTCACCTGCAACACACAACAACACACGATCAATCTCAGGGCCACAGTACCTACCACAGTGAACAATACAACTGGAACATGGACAATGTGTTCAATTAAATATTATCATTACAAAAATGACATTAAAAAAACATAGCCTCTACCGGTTGCGGCAAACTGTTTTCTTATCGCATGTCATCTGTCTACATCTATTTGGCCAATTTCTACTCTTTCCAGGTGCTTCCCAAAGCCTGGTAGAGGCTAGCAAAGACCACTAATTACTGTATTGACATTACAAAAATTAACTATGTTATATGTGTACTGTCAAGCAAATATTAGCTAATCAACTATTCTAACTATACCGGAAGCTCATCTTCTATGTAGCCAAGTGGCTATTGGAATACTGTTTGCATTCAAAATATAACTTTACTGTGGAAACTACAATGTAGTCCTGAGAAAAACCTGCACACATCCTAACATCCAGTCACGGTAGGATTTTGGTCATGCTCCAGACAACACTATCACCAACGCAAAAAACTGAGTCCCAACAGCGTAGCCAAACCTGCCTTCTTGCATGCCCTATTTCTCGAACATCAAACATCAGCTATCAGATCTGTACGCATGAATGTGTAGCGCGTGTGGCCGTAATAGAATATCAGAAAACGCATGTTCGATAATAAGGCTGTACCACAGCGACTTATCAGCACGAGTGACCAGTTCTTTCATATCGGGACAAGATCAATACGCGGATGAATTACGACCCCCGTATCGCAATATGTCCGCCCTAATCGGGAATGACAAATGTTGGTATCACATCCAAGTCATCTACAGGCGCTACCGACCAATCAAGGTTGCTATGGCAACAGACTACCGCAGGATTTCTGAAATATGATGGATGGTCGTGTTCAGTAGAACTGGTTTGAAGGACGGGGATTTTATCTTCTCAACAAACTGTAAGCTGTTCAGATAGTCTATTCTGTCAGTGCAGGTACGATACCGTCCCTGTAACATCAATAAAAGTGTCAGGCTTGCCACTATCATTGTCACAGAAGCCAGTTGTATGAAAGACAGACTACGTTAATAGAACAAATAAAGAGATGCAGGATCCACTAGAAACTACATGTACTTGTAAGAAAGACAGAAGAAAAGAGAGTTCACAGAACAAATGAAAAGATGAAGGATCCAGAGAATAGGAAGCACGCTGAAGCCAGTACACAACGTCTACCTTTTTTAAGCATGTGTCTTTTTCAAAGGTTGGAACTGTTGTTCTAAATTCCCATATCATCCCACTTTCTTTCTACTGCTGAATCATTTATAACTGGGACTTAAAAGCACTAAGCATGAGCGCGGCTTCGTATCACATAGGAACTTCTGCTGAAGAAGTATGAGAAGTTTGACTCCCAGGGGAAACCAGGCATCCAACAACATCTATAAGCAATATGAAGGCCTGTTCACCATGTAATGGGCAGATCCAGTGAAGGGTTAAGGAATCATTTGTGTGCTTATGGGGCTGTGCAGTCAATCAGTGATGGCCATTAACTCAAACCTTCACACTGCTACACAGATAACCTCTAATCCTGACCTCTGACCTAGTGGCTGGCAGGAACTATCATCACGAGAGGTCACTTTGGATAAATACCAGATTTCATCAGAGGAACGTACTGCTGCTATCAACTTCACACAAATCTATGCTCCTGTATCTCTCTTTCTTTGAAATTCTTCAATATAAAAGGACTCAAACCGCTGGCTTCTTAGCCATCAATGCTTGTCAAAAGCGGTTTGATGAATGTTTAATTAAAAAGTAATTACAAGTATATGTCACAGCTATATGTATAATGCTTTAGAGCAAAACCATAAAATGTCACAGCAGTGGATCTGTTTCAGTTATGCCTTGAGAATTCCAATTTCCTTTAGCGTTTCCTGACTACATGAATTTATTCATACATCTTCAATGATAAGGGAGGGGGGTTAAATATTTACGTACAAAATAGGGCCTGCATTAGTTTGGCTCAGACACTAAGGCAACACCAAATGCAATCTACTGTAGCCAGCAATGCTGGTGGAACTGTGGTATGCCTGGACAACGTTAGGCCATGTTGATTCCATTATATGGATGACATCTGCACGTGCATGAATTTTCTTCCATTTCCCCCAAAAAAAGTTTTCAACCTATTAATTAGGCAAAATGAGCAAATATATGCTATGAATTGCAAAGAAATATTGGAAAAGGATAGTCATGCCACAGAATGCCAAAATCCATTCCAACGGTAAGAAAGAAAATGTGAAGAAATGAAAATGAACAGTCTCTGTGCGTTGTAGGTCATTTGTTCAACCTTCATGACCTCAAAACATTAGATTTCTAGATTTCATGATGTTTCCTTTTTTTGGCCACAATCTTTTTTATTTGCATGCTCGCATCAGTTTTGGGGTTCCCAGAGGATGTCATCCATTATACAAATCAACATGGCCTAAATTGGACTTTGGGATTAAAAAATTCCCCATGTTTTGCAGGATAACGTGACTATTCTGCTGACCTTCATGCTCCGTGGCTCCCTGCAAGAGAGTGATGGTGGTGCTATCAGTACCAGTAATGGCTAATAACACAGCATGTCAGAAACTTCGCTGACGTGTCCCATTTCTGTCCTACAAACTCTGTCCAACGTGATCAGAATATTACTAAGCCAAGTTGGAAGTTACAGCATGGTTTAATGATCAAGAAGAGAGAATTACAATACTGAAGCTGTCATTTTGGCTTCACACTTTGTGCTTTTAATGATCTATTTACTTAGAGCTTCACTCAACACATAGCACCACCCGACACACACACAGAACCAACTCCTTTAGGCGACTCTAAGTTACAGAATTTAAAAATGACTATGCAGCTCTCACTTTTATGTACAAAATGTATGTACTTTTGTTCCATGTATGGGTAATAATATGTGTATAAATCTATTAGGACTTTAAACAATAAAAGAAATGCGCCACAGACACACTTGAAACCTTAATGTATCTTGATGTATTTGCCTTCCAGGAAATATTCAGTAAAGCTTACCATATGCATAAAAATCAGGAAATATGACTGCATACTAAACTTGCAAACAATTAATTTGCTCTGAGTGTTCGTATACGTATTATGGCTTTAAACAATAAAAGAAATGCACCACAGGCACACTTGAAAAATTCAGTGAAGCTCACCATATGCATAAAAATCAGGAAATATGACTGCATA